GTCTTCTCAATTCACAAAAAAAATATTTGTACTGTGATCGGCATCTAAAATTTTTATGGAAATTTTTATGGAGGCATAGAGTTTGAAAAATCACTTACAATTAGTTAACTGTACCAAAATTTTTGTTGTGAATTGAGACGACAGTCAGTCAAAGATGTTCCAACTGGGTTCTAGGAGTTGTAAGTCAAGCTTTTTTTGGCCACGAAGTCAGAAGCTAGACTCTAGCCTGACTGGTTTAACTAAAAGTGTTTTTTTTTGATCCGGACAGGCAAGCCCTGACTGAAAGCCAGGTTAAGCCAGTCTAACTAGGAAAAGGCACCAGGCCAAGGTGGCCTTTTGATGCGCATCCAGTGTACTTTATAGAGCTTTGAATAGGGAGTCCGAATCCGCTTTTAGTTTTTCCAATGGAGCTCTTTATCGGAAGATATCTGGAATCAAAGTTTAGGTCAGTTTATGTCAGCTTTTCGAAGCTGTTAGTTAAGCTCTGTGTTTTTGTTTTTTGTTTTTGGTTTTTTATAAGTAACAAGTACTGATTTGCTTATTTATTGGCATTTCAACTAAACATTGACAAGTTGATCAATCAATCAGAATCAATTTGGTGAGCCAGCCGGGGTCAACATCGAGCCACGGGACGATGGACGGGGCTGAATTGAATGGCTGAATTGAATGGCTGAATTGAATAAGCTTATTTAAAAATGAAATTATCAAATAATCGCAAAAATAGAAAAAACAAAGGATAAGAAGAATAAGAACAGAACAAGAATACGAAAAATTTAGTTACAACTTTCACTTTTATTTGGATAGACTTTGTCTAGAATTATAGAATCAATCAATTAATTATAAAATCAGAATTATTAGAAAAATAGACATTGAGAAGTTAATCAATCAATCAGAATCAATCAATTTGGCCGGAAAGTCTTGTCCATCTTGTCCGCTTGTCCGAAAGTCTTGTCCGCTGAAATTTTCGTTTATAAATGAATTAGCCGATAAACGTGTGGCTTGCTTTAATAAAATTAACTATTTCATTTAGCTCATTTTTAGGCAAGTCCGCTTTTAGGCGAGTCCGCTTTAAAGCAAATCCGAACAGGAATTCTGAAAATGTTGAAGTGAGAAAATGTGCCATTAGACCGACTATCAAAGAAAAGGCCCTTGAATTTGCCAATCATTTTTTGGACACACAAATTTCAAAGCTTCTAACAGTTGGCTGGCTAATTTCAAGAAGCGATACGGTCTTGTTTTTCGAGCAATCGAAGGGGAAAGTGCTTGCATCGATCGACAACGATCGACATCGACGTCGATCAACAACTGGCATTTTTTTAGTTAGTTTTCTGTCGATTTTACAATAAAGTTGCTTTACATGTTGTTTATTTTGAATAAAATCAATCTTATTTATGTAAATGAATGCATTGGTAGTACCGAAGAACAAATTTTTCGACATTTTTAATGTTTTTAGAGCGTTTCTTAGCATTCTTAGCATTCTTAGCATTCTTAGCATAAAACAAACCATAAATCGATTGGTTCATTATTCATTTCAAAAAGTAACCTTTAAAAACAAGACTTTCCAGCCAACCTGATAGTATTAGTCACTGCAATTCGACCATCCATCCACATCTCGGCTGCTGATCTGATAGTCGTCATATCTACAATCCCATTCCGTTGCCACAACAATCAATCCCTCATCTTTTCCGCTGTTGATGCTCCTTTTGAAACATTTTACAATCGTGAAATCCCATCGCGGTCTTTTAAACCTTTGAGTTAGACATTTAAGGAATTCTTGATTCGCTTCTATCTGAACTCCGTCGATTCTTAGGATAAATTCCTCAGCTCCGACCAAGTTAACGATTAAAAACATCTTGCAATCTTTTGCCTTCTTTGAAAACAAATTCTGAAGAAATTCTTCGAAAACTGATACAAGTTGATTGTCATGATTGTCTTCAGAAAATGGATCGTAGACCTCAAATCGAGCACGATTTGTAATTTCAAAAGAGAACATGTCAAACAATTGGCCCATCGTCTCAGCATATTGTTCAGGACTCAACCTGCTGCTCCAAGGTTGAAACAACGTTGAAAAGACTCCTACTAGAGTCAAATTTGGGAGACATTCAGCGATTTCTGACACGGTTATTGTTTTTACTGGAAGTCTATCATCTGAATCTCCATCAAAGTTGATATAGAGAAATTTTACAGAACGAATTCTTTTGATTATTTTTAAATCTTCTTTGAAGTCGAAGTCACGCGAGAAATTCCCTTTTTTTATTGTGAAGAGTGTAGTATTTCCGTCAATACATTTTTTAGCAGAATCATAGCCCAATTGAATATTTATAGAAACAACTCGATCTCCGAAAGTTCCGTTTTTCAGCACAAAGTTTCGAGTGCCTTTGTTAACTCGTAATAAGTTAACGGCTGACTCTGGATCGACTTTGTCAAGAATTTTCTCCTTCAGTTCGGCGGGGAAATTGCGTGAGATTGGGAAAGGCGTTGAGAATTGGATTGGGTTGTGATTGGGAACAATAGAGGCTTTATAGAAGAAAGCCATCACAAATCAATGAATCAAGTTAAACAAAATCTTAAATATGAATGAATGAATGAATGAATCTTAAATATAAAATTTAGGAAAACAAAGTGTTTTTTCGCTTGTGAACAAATTGACGGGTGAATCATTTGTTTTTTTTTGCATACGATCAATGCTGCTTTGCCCCATTTTTTAGACTCAACAAAAACAATAAAACATATACAATAACAATAAACAATTTGTTTTCTCAGAGCCCTCTTCAAAAAGTTTATAAATATTTCGGATTTAAGTTCAAAAAATTGGAAAAATATTAAACCATAAATAAAACAAAAAAAAAAATCAAAAGCAAGCTGTATTCATGAAATTCTAGAATTCTAAAACTAAAGTTAGATTCTAGAAATCTCCTCACGCTAGATGATAGCAGCTGTGGTCTAGAGGTAAGTCGGTGACATCTAGTCAGAAGAACTCTCGTTCGGTCCCCGCGTTCCAGTCGGCAGGCTGGAACGCGTTCCAAGTCGGCAGGCTTTAAAACAAAAAAAATCAAAAGCAAGCTGTATTCATGAATCAAAAGCAGAATTCAAAAATTCCAGAAGTCTAAAACTATAATAGATTCTAGAAATCTGGAAGTAAAGCTAGCACTATAAAATACAGAGGGATCAAAAAGTTCCCGTACACTTTACAAAGAAGCCTCAATTTTCAGCTAAAACCCAGATTGAAATTTGACTTAGTATTGGGTTGATGAATTGAAAACTGCGGGACTTTGAACTAAAATTTATTCAACATAAAACCATAAATTCATTCCAAATAATTTCCATTACTATTGACGACTTCTGCTCATTTTACAACCTAAACCTCGCCTATTATGGGCGGGACTAAACCTTTTGCTTCATAACTTTGCATGGATATTAAATTTGGAGTTAGTTTTGATATCATTCGACGCACAATTTCATTCTGCACCAAATGATAATTAAAATAGTCAAAATCAAAGGGTTGGTGCTGAGAAAAGCACAAAAAACCTTAAAGTACCAACGGCAAAAAAGGATCGACAGATGTTTTCGCTGTCTAACAGGAGTGTTTAACAGGAAAGTACCAAACAAAACAATACAATAAGTTGAGCGTTTAAACAACTCAACTTACTCAATGATATCATTTTTATTGATTTCACTTTACACTTTCAAAAAAAATTCTTCCATTGCAATTCTAAACACTTTTTTTGAAACTCTAAAATATCTGAAAATAGAAAAACGCTTTACTTTCATTTCCACAAAAAGATGAAGCTCTTCGCGGTTCTCCTTTTTGCCATTTTCTTAATCAAGTTAGTTCTTAACCACTCACCTTTTCATCTCATTTTCCATCTTGACAAATCAGTGACTTGCAAGAATACGATATTTTCTATTGTAAAGTGGGTGTTTGTAAACAAATTATTGGGTTGTCCAGTTATGAATGCGCGTTTTTACTATTTTGTAAATTTCTCAAGATATCGAACAGATGTATATGAGTGTTATATATCATTCGAAAGCTGAAGATCTCCTCTACATTTTGGAATACAAAAGTTTTTAAATTCATTGAACTTTTTGGGAAATTGACTGCACAAAGGGAGAGGTCATTTTCAAAAAAAAACCCATTTCAGCTTAGCTATTCCTCAAGTTTTATGGTGTAAAATAACCGCCCAGAATAGAAAAGAAAAGTAAAGATGCTCTGAAGTTGCTATATTTTTTAAAAAGTTGTATTGATATATCCTCACTTCCAAACTGAGGGTGTGGGGTTCGCCCCCGGGTTCTCCCGCCCCTTCTGGCCGAGGTTATTAAAGCAAGAAGCCTATCTTCTCTCTTTTCTCCCCCCCCCCGCCGGTTTCTTTTGTTTGTGTTGTCGCTGATTCTTTCATGTCCTGAATAAAGTATCAATATATCTATTGGCCAAACATCAAACGGTTAACTCAATTTGAGCGGAGCCAAAACTTGATCCAAAGGAACCTTTCCATTTTTTGGTCACCTCTTCTTCTGTGCAGTCAATTTGCCCAAAAGCTGAACAAATTCAAAATATCAAAATGTTTTTATATCAAAATGTAGAGGAGATCATCAGCTTTCGAATAAAACTCATATATATCTTTTTCTTGATTTCGGTATCTTGAGAAATTTACAAAATAGTAAAAAACGCGCATTCATAACTGGACAACCCAATATAAGTTTCCTTCACAATCGTGAAAGTTTTGTTGTAACCTAGATAGATTTTGTTAACAAAGAAGCTAAATCTATTCTAAATCTAAATCTTTTTGATTTTGTGATCAAGTGATCATTTTGTTTTTCGAAAGAAAGGGAACTTTTTCAAGGTCAAGTGCAGCAAAGTCGATCTGGTTGGGAGATAAACAAATCCAAGAAAAAAGAAAAAAAGTGTCACTCATATGTGAAACGAAAAAATGTCCTTCTAATTAATTAAAGCTATTCTTTCTGTTATTTTTAAATAAACAAAACTTCTTTGGCTTGATTTGATGCATTCAATTAACCACTCGGATTGCTTTCAAAATCTCACCCAAGAAGAACACTTCTTTCAGGTTTCTTAGACAAAAGAAAATCAACTACTTTTTTTAAGCACGAAAATGCGGCTGAAGTCGAAAAAATGTTTCTGCATTATCACGGTTATCTTCTCGGATCGTTAGCTAGTTTAGCTATTCTCTTTTCGACAGCATTTATTGGTAAAGTTTTTTGAAAAATAAAAAAACATCTGATGAATCTGGAATTGGATTCAATCTACAGTGGTCCACAAAAGTAATCCCCCATTGCCATCCAACAATGTTTTGTAAGGAAATCTTACAAAATCGACATTTCAGAAAAAGAGTAGGGTATTTTTATCTACCTATAAGACTCGACTTTTCAAGAATATAAGATTTATCCGTATACATTAAATACAAATTAAAGTACAAAACAAAAACAATAAGTTACTTGAAAATTAGCTCCACAAAAGTAATGCCCATTTGCAAAGAATTAACACAATTTTTTAAAATCAATACTTGGTTGGTCCTCCTTTTGCTTTTATTACTTCTTTGAGTCGATTCGGCATGGAATCCACGAGATTCTTCAAAAGACTTTGGGGGATGGTGGCCCAGAGACGTTGAATGTGAACCCATAAGGCAGTTTTCGAATCGAATTTCTTTCCCTTGAGTCGTGACTTCACAAATGACCAGAGATGCTCGATAACATTGATATCCGGTGAGTAGGCAGGCGGATTGATCAATTTGACGCGACTTGCCGCAAACCAGCCCGGAAGTCGTGCTCGTGTACCATTTTGAAGAGTCACCACCGTTCCCATCATGGGCCTTGACTTGTGTTTCGGGTCGTTGTCCTGGTAGAGCATCCATCCAGGAGGCATCGTCTGTGTGGCAAAAGGCAGCATTTGGGTCTCCATAATGTTCTTGTAAGCCAAAGCATTCATCGTTGAGTTGACGTGAACTAATGGACCTACTGAAGTTCGTGACATCGCTCCTAAAGAAAAACAGTCAGGTGACAAAATACTAAAAAGGGTCTTACCCCAACACATTATGTTGCCTCCATTGAATTTCACCGTAGGCCGAATGTACTTGAGTGTGTATCGCTTTCCAGTCGGCCGCCGAATAAGATGGTTTCCGTCCGCGTGAAATAAATTGATTTTTGTCTCATCGGTAAATAGCACTTTCGCCCAATCACTTATTGTTCAACTTCGGTAGGTCCGTGCAAAATCAAGGCGCTGCTTCCGGTGCTTAGAATTCATCAGAGGTTTACGGGCAGCCTTTCTTGCATATAATCCAGCTTGATTTAATCGTCGTCTGATCGTTTCCGGCGATACAACCTTGTTAAATTGATCCCTCATCATTTGGCTTCCATCGGTTGATGTTTTGTTCGGATCGTTTTCCACCATTTGGATCACGGCTCGATCTTCTTTTATGGTTGTGATTGGTCGTCGGCCACTCTTGAGGCCTCGATGAAGGCTTTTGATTGGGAAAAAATGCGACGGACTGTCCATACCGAGCAATTGAAGAGGTTGGCCACATCCTTCTCCCGCATCCGATTTTCCCGGGCCTTAGCGATTTGGAGCTTCTTCGGAGTGTCAAGATTTTTCATGTCAGGAATCTAAATAATACAATAGAATACATTTAATGTTCATAGAAGGAGAAACAAAAAGAATAATCATGAAAACGATCAATGGGGCATTACTTTTGTGGAGCTAATTTTAGGGGTAAGTGCACTCTTCCACATCGATCTTTTGTTTGGAAGGATCTCAATCAAAAAAAAAAATCCAGTTATTTAACAACTAGAATTTCTAAAGTATTTTAAAAGAAATATATATATATATATATTTTAAACATGGGTTTTCAGGAGGAATTTTGCAAAAAATACTTTTGAATGGCAATGGGGCATTACTTTTGTGGACCACTGTAGGTGATAAAAATTTGCAAAATGCAGCATGGGTGATAAAAAAAAGTGGTTGTGAAGAAACGTAAAAATATTAACTTGAAATCGATGTGGCAATTTTTTTTGTACAGCTGTGCCCAACCAAATAGGAATGCTCTAGTAATAAAGAAAATAAATGTGAAATTGTATTCAAATACTGAAAATTCGTAAAATGAACCAAATTAGCCGCGCAATTACGTGTGATTCGACTACGAGAGGGATCTCGAAAATATCATGCTTTATTGCTCAATCGAGCAATTGGTGATCTAATCGGCGCATCGACAGCTGTCATTTCGGCCATTCTTGCCATATTCGTCCCAACATCTATGCAAGTAATTTGAAGAAAAAGAAATTTATCGAAATTTCCAGTACTGCCATTGCTGCTTTTATTGGATGCTTTTTCTATTCGACTTTTTGGACGGCTTTTGTCTCGTATACTTGTCTCTCGTTGGTCAAGGTTTGTGTAGAGAATTGAACAAGTAAAAAATGAATGAAAATGGAATGAATGGAATGATTAGAATGATTAAAATGGATATATGCGGAAATCGGCTAGCCGATTAAGTCTCAAAAATGAAATCTTGAGTTATGTATTGACTCAAGTCAATACCACAAACTCAAGCTCTCTAAAAGACGCTTAAAAGCTAAAAACGCTTTCTAAAGAGTGCGCATTTTATCATACTGTAACCAAAGGCCGTTTTCGTCATTTTCTATCTGATTCGTCATTTATTTGAAATAGAATTGTTTGTTTTTGTAAGTCAATTTGACCCCTTTGTTAGATCATCGATAAAACTTGTTTACCACTAATCTGTTTATAATCGAACACAGGATTTTGTTTTTTAGGAATGAAGAAAGAATTCGATCTGCAGTTTTCTCACTTTCAATCAAATCAAAAGCGAAGTTTGATTCTTTCAAGCGAGAAATACGCGGAAACCGTCACCGTTCTCCAACAATTGCGGAATGAAGACTTCAAACCATCGAAAAAAAAACGCAAAAACTTGTAGTGCGATTCTCTCTTCGATACGAATTGAATCAAGAGGTGCTTTACAACCATGGGATCAAAGTCCAATTTGGACAAACCCAAGAAAGTCGTCAAGCAAGAGGAGCTCTTTGGCCTGTTAACGATCACTCACTAACGACTTGGGCACGCCGGACGAGTTATAATGTGATCAAACAAAGGGGTCAAATTGACTTACAAAAACAAACAATTCTATTTCAAATAAATGACGAATCAGATAGAAAATGATGAAAAGGGTCCTTTTATAGCCTTTGGTTACAGTATGGTAAAATGCGCACTCTTTAGAATGCGTTTTTAGTTTTTAAGCGCCTTTTAGAGAGCTTGAGTTTGTGGTATTGACTTGAGTCAATACATAACTCAAGATTTCATTTTTGAGACTTAATCCGCTAGCCGAAGAATTCTGAGACTTCTTTGAGAAATACGCGGAAACCGTCACCGTTCTCCAACAATTGCGGAATGAAGACTTCAAACCATCAAACGGCTGAAATCCTTTATCGGCTACGACATATACATAGCATGCATGTAATTCTTACTGACCTACTTCTGTCTGTAATTCTTACTGACCAATTTCTACATACTTTTAAAAGTTTTAAAATGTTTGCTGGAGTAACCAATAGCGCTGAATCGATTTTAGTTTTAGTTCCAGTTTCAGAAATTGTTTCAGTTAATTTCAGTTAAAAGTTTAGTGATTGTTTGTGTGCTCGTTTTTAGTCGGTACTGGGTGCCCTTTTGTGGCTGGCATTGGTTAAAAGCTTTAGCCAATGCCAGCCAACCAGCTTTAGCCCGTTTACTAGTTTTTTGGCAAATTCTCTAAAAGAAAAAGCACTAATTCACTGAAAATAGATGAAATTTTCTTTGAATAAGTCCAAATTTCAACTGAACATTGAACATTGAAAATGCAAGAAGCAAAATTAGAAAACCTTTTTAGCTGTACGCAGTGTGGAAACCATTTCTCTATCGTCGAGCGTTTACTTTCAAGAAATGTTTGTACATTATTGGTGTCAGGTGGGAATTGATGTTTGTAAATTTGATAGCATTTCAAGCAATAGCATTTCCAGCAATAGCATTCCCGAAATCTCGATTGAACACTTCGTTTTTTAGTTGGATCATTTTCGTTTGTTGTGGTTCACTTTGCGTGGGAGCGATGAGTCATTTACATGTGGGATGGGTGGCAGAATGGCATGGGTAAATACTTATTTATAGAAAGAGATTCAGTGCGCTAGGAGGTGTGCGTTTAGCGGGTACGAGTACGAGTACGAGTACGAGTACAAAGTATGAGTACAAAGTACGAGCTGATAGAATGGAAGTACCCACCATCACCGCCGATTATCAACAGTTCAACAGCAACAAGTCGAGGAGAAGTTCAACATCTCGCTTAAAAGGCTTTTCTCAGGGGGCGTCGATTTTACCCGGTGGTCTAATGGATAAGGTGCTCGTCTACAAAGCGAGCTAGGCAGATATTGCTCGGGTTCGAGTTCCTGCCTGGAAAATACTTTTCCTATTTTGATTTTAATGAAACGAATTTGAATAGATTTTGCTTCTTTTCATTTCCTCTTAAATAAACAAAGAAAATAAAGAAAGAAAAGATAACAAAACACATAAAAACTCTCAGATTTCGCTACCTGTTCTCTACGTTTTTCTGCTTTGACTACGCGTTCACGATAGTGACTTTTCTAGTAACGGGTTCGTGTCTTTTGGAATGTAATGGAAATACGCTTGCTCAAAAAATGAACAAATTCAAGAAGTTTCAATTGATAACATTGAAATTCAATCAAAGAAACGGTTCTTTTCTTGCAGAAATTTCAATCTAAACCACCTACGAAAATCATGTAAAAAAAAAGAGGAAAAGTCAATTTTTATGTTAAATCATTGTATTAAAATTAATTTTTGCTCTTTTGCTGTGATTTTAATGTAAGGTGGTCTTTAAATCCTTAAGTTCTTTAGTCCTCGCAATCCTAGACAACCTTGTATCACCATTCGGCCGGGAAGTCCCGACGCGCGCACTTTGAATAATTATCAGAACTTTTAGGAAACATTTACCTTTGTCCAATAATGTTTTTCCTAGAGCAAGAAACGCAGAGTGTACTAGCAAAAAAAGAATTACCGTATTTTCACTAATATTAGGGTGGTGCAAAAGAAACTGCCGATGGGTATCAGCTGTTATTTATCAGAAACGAGCGATGCTAACGGCATTATTTTTTTATATTTTGTTCGCATATTTGTTTGTTATTTATTTCGACGTTTGAATTTTTTGGTTGTTGTTTATTTTATTTTAAAATGCTTATATTTTTATTTAGATCATGGTCGAGGAAAAGTTTGTACGAGCAGCAAGAGCACGAGCAGCATTACTGTTTAACTTCAAAATTGGAAAGTCTGCTGCCGAATCGCATCGTTCTCTCTGTGCTGCTTTCGGCAGTTTGTCTCTCAGGCAGTGTCAGACTTAGTTTCAACGATTCCGAGTGGGAGACGAGACTTTGGAAGATTACGAGCACGGTTCGAGGCCAGAAGTCGTGAACGAAGCCAAGCTGAGTGACGTTATTCAGACCGATCCATGCCAATCTGCTCGAGATCTTGCGAAAATATTCCATTGTGATCATGTCACCATCGAACGCCATCTTTTTTTTGAACTTACCGTCAAATCGGCAGTTTCTTTTGCACCACCCTAATAGTAGTGCACTCCGGCGAGCCGAGTTGGTGACTATTTTACGGTTTCCAAGCTTTTGCAGAAACTCAACACTCTAATCCCCACTAGATCTCATCGTCAGCTACATTTTCCGACCCCACATCGATAGGTTCTGATAAGCGGTTCTCGAGATTTCGAGGAATTTAGGCAACGCTGTGGATGCACTACTATTAAAGAGAATACGGCATTTGATTTAAGGAATCGAGAACTGAGTTAGGCTCAAGTTAGGCTATGAGTTAGGAGTTTTCATAATTCTGCCGCACTTTGTATAGTTTTAATCGAAGCAAAGCAATCCCAAGTATGCGTTTGTCGTCTATTTTTTTGATCCATCTAGTTCAGCGTTTTAATCCTTGCCCCCTAAGCGTTGAATGACGTCAATTTGTTGCCATATTTGTTGCCATATTTGTTGAACTCGTTCAGCTGAATCAAATTATTCCAAAATTGTTCCTATTTTCTTACTACTATTCTATTAATACACCTTTTTTGCAAGTAGATGTCCACAGCAATAATTATTTATCATTATGCAATGATTATCCATTGCAATAATGAAAAAATGCTTATAGCACAAAGAAAGAATGTTCATAGTACAAAGCCAATTTAGATAGTTTTTTTGTATCAACAGATTCAGCTCATTGATCTCTACGAGTATGGCTAGAAACTTGATCAATGAGTTGACGTTATTCAACGTTTAGAAGGCAAAGAAAGCATTGAAGGCAGAGGCACTGAATAAATGGATCAAATGGATCAATACTCCAAATCAAACTCAAAATTTCAGCAGCCATCCTAAAGAAAGCGAGTAAAGTCGCTTTGTTAAAGAGTAAAAATGACGGCCGTTCCACGCAACAACGTTCTCGGTTAGTTTTTATCTCTTGGAAGTCCTTTGTATCAAAAATTTCATCAAACAGCTCACAGATTCCCTCTTTGGAAGCTGGCACTAAACGTGAGCACATTTGCCGTTTTTCAATCGCCTCACGTTGTATGGTTAGCTGATTCTCTATTCAAATAGATTGAAAATTTTTTAGGAATCTCTACTTATTGACAAAAAAAGATTGTCTTTTTCGAATACACTCTTCGGAAACGATTGGAACACAAGGTTTTTTGGAGAGAAAATGACAAATATGCTTTTAAAATGAGCTTAACACATGCACGAGGTGGTTTTTTGATTTTTGCGTAGGCTATACCCCTTCCAGCTCGTCTAAAAACGTTCACAGGCAACTTACTTAAGTTAGGGGTCAGAATGAAGAGAAACTTTTCCAGATCTGACTCGAGAAACTTCTCATGCTAAAACATTCTAAACTCCCTTCAAACTCAATATTTCTTTAATATGTTTTCAGATAAGTGATTCGTGAATATTTCTCTTCATTTTAACCCCTAACTCCAGTAAATCGGTTGCCTGTGAACGTTTTTAAACGAGCTGGAAGGGAAATAACTTACAGAAAAATCAAAAAAACCTTGTCATCAATGTGTTAAACACAAAACAATTTAATAAAAAAAATTTTAGCTTTTGTTGGCGCTGCTGTTCTTTTGCGAATCATTATGGACTTTTTGCTTTCGTTAATCACCGATTCACAGGTGACAACAACGATTACATAAGAAGTTTGACATTCGGAGCTGTTTGAAGATCAAAATTTTCAAAACAAGGTCAAGCGAGAAGCCATGAATAGCCTGGCTTGGTCCTGCCTGGCTTGGTCCTGTCTGGTTTGGTCCTGCTTGGCTTGGCCCTGGCTTGATCCTGCCTGGCTTGGTCCTGCTTAGCTTGGTCCTGCTTAGCTTGGTCCTGCCTGGCTTGGTCCTGCCTGGCTTGGCCCTGGCTTGGTCCTGCCTGGCTTGGTCCTGCCTGGCTTGGCCCTGGCTTGATCCTGCCTGGCTTGGTCCTGCTTAGCTTGGTCCTGCCTGGCTTGGTCCTGCCTGGCTTGGTCCTGTCTGGCTTGGTCCTGCTTGGCTTGGCCCTGGCTTGATCCTGCCTGGTTTGGTCTTGTCTGGTTTGGTCCTGTCTGGCTTGGTCCTGTCTGGCTTGATCCTGTCTGGCTTGATCCTGCCTGGCTTGGCCTTGGCTTGGTCCTGCCTGGCTTGGTCCTTGTCCTATGGCTTAAACTCCAATTTCCAACTCAACCAAAACCAGATCGTATCCATGGCTGATAGCTTGGTCATAGCTTTTTTTGCTTCAGCCCTGCATCAAATTTACATTTAAGTTTCGTCATTTCTTTCTCGATTGCTTTGGTGTTTCACGAGAATGTTTCTGTTTTCGGATCACCTCTCAATTATCGACAACGCGAAACATTTCAACGGATTCTGGTAGAGTTTTTTGTCATGCTTTATAAAGTTTTCCTTTAAAGCATCTCAAAAACGACGAAAGAGCACTCAACAGTCGACTATCGCTTAATTAAAAAGGTTTGCATCAAGAAGGATCAAAAATAAATATCACTTTTAGTCTCAAAACATCTACAAAACATCTACAAACACAAAACAAAACAAAACAAAAATTTATGATTTGCTGTATTTTTCATTCCACATTTTCCACAGAATCTTCATTTCATTACAAATTTTCATTTTTGCTTTTAATTTTGAAAATAAAGGTTGACAATTCAAAGTTTCTCGGCGATTGATTCAGAAGCAAGCGTTTAAAATTTGATCTGATGGCTTTTATAGAAAAGATAGAAAATTAGATAGAAAAGATAGAAAAGTACAATTTGTTTTAGGTGTTAGCTAAGAAAAAAACTCATTTATAGAGCAAAGGGCAAAACGACGTCATTTTTTGTTCAGAGACTAAACAAAAGACGTCGCTTTCCCCTTTCCTTTAGCTCTCGACGTACAAGCATCGATCCAATTGGTTTGATCGACTAACGGTTGCTTTTAAAAGAATCCTTATCAAATTTGGCTATAGAAAAATATGTTTGTGGTAGTCACCTGCAAGAACATCGAGAAAACGAATAATTTGGATGGATCTGATTAGGGAATGTTGTCAAGTTAAGGCGGGCTTTTCGAACTAGACCAAACCTATCTAATAGAGTTTTTTACGTTGATTCCGAATTCGGTTTTAACTTTTCCCGAAGAGCTCTGTAACGCGAGATATTTGGCCGCAATTTCGGTAGGTTTATAAGGTTGGCACGCCTTCCCTTAAATGTGAGCTGGTGGCCTAATGGATAGTGTGCTGGCACAGTTCTTTGTTGGCGTGAGTTCTTTGTTGGTTGCTGGTTTGAACCCGCTTAACGGCCAAGGTTCTTTTTGCTTTTTTTTTGCGAAACATTTCTAAACACCTTTCTATTTCAGGTTAAAGTTTTGTGATTTTAACGCAGCCATTTTGTCTTTACCGTCTAAATTTCCATAAAGTAAACAAGTTTTGCCTTTTGAAGTTTATGAAAGAGAGTTATTTGCTGTGCATATCATGAAATACTTGCAATATCATGAAAAGTGTTTAAAAAAGAAAAGAACCTTGGCAGTTAAGCGGATTCGAACCAGCAACCAACAATAAACCCACGTGCCAGCACACTATCCATTAGGCCACCAGCTCACATTTGACGGAAGGCATGACAACCTTATAAACCTACCGAGATTGAAGCCAAATATCTCGCGTTACAGAGCTCTTCGGGAAAAGTTAAACCCGGATTCAAAATCAGCGTAAAAAACTCTATTATATAGGTTTGGTCTAGTTCGAAAAGCCCGTCTTAACTTGACAACATTCCCTAGTGAGAACGATGAGATTCACTGTTTCGACGAGATTGTTGTTGACGAGATGAGATGGCGACAATCCAATTGACAACGATCCAATTGACAACGATCCAATTGACAACGATCCAATTGACAACGATCCAATTGACAACGATCCAATTGACAACGATCCAATTGACAACAATCCAGTTGACAACAATCCAGTAGACAACAATTCAGTTGGAATTCAACAATTCCAACTAGATTGTTGAAGCTTTTCATCAAAAATCAAAAATTAACTGATTTTCAAGCGCACGAACTGATCAAATTTGCCCCGAATTGCTAAAAAGTAGAAAAAGATAGACATTTTGAGATTGATTGAATTCCAAAAAATTTTATTGATGTTGAAAAATAAAACGGCCCTCTCTAAAAGTTCTAATAGAACTCTAATAGAACGATCGGTTCTTCTATTAGAGTTTTTTTACGGTATTCGAATTCGGAGTCAAATTCAGGGTTTCGAGATGAGTTTTCTCTTCAAAATTCACAATTTTCCCATAAGCTCAGCAATAATTCATATAGTTTCGTATAGCTAAACTTCTTCGGAGTCTGATTTAAGGTTTCTTTTCCTTAAAATCAAGCTCTTTCTCCCTCAATTTGATGTTTTTTCTTTTCAACAGCCTCTTTTCAGCTCTTTTCATCAACGTTGTCAACAAGTTTTCTTTCTCGAAGCATCCTCAATATCAACTTTAATTGGTCAACGATTTTCTCGCATTCTTGTTTATGAACTTGCAAAGTAAATACGAACTTTAAACCAAAGCAAAGTTTGGCACTTGTCAGCACTTTTCGAGAAAAAAAGTTGGCACACTTTAGAAAGGATTCTATTCTATTCTATCCTTCATCAATGATTCCTACGAGTAGTGACGCCTAAATCTAATCTAATAGCCGTCTAAATGGTCGATATCTCGGCAATTAGTGAATGTGAGAAAGTAAGAGATAGTAAGAGATCTAAGTTGGCCTAATTCAATGGCAGGGGTTTTCCTCTTTCTGTCTTGTTTCTCATTTCTTTTAGTCTGTTCGATTTGAATTGAAATCACTGCGGACGTTTGATTTGGATTGATGCAAAAAAAATGATGGCAAGGCGACAGCGAGTAATTCCTGTCCACAAAAATGTGGACAACTCCGATCGATAATGGAAAATTTCGTACGCTTTTTAACTGATTTATTTATAGAAATTAAAATAAAGGTACAAGGTTTCTACGTTTCGACACTTGCGATGCCTACACATCTTGGAATGAAAAGCCAATGAAAGTCTTCTGGACCGATTGGGGCAAACAACAATTATTGCAGGTTAGCTATATATTTGTAGTTTTTTTTATTGTACTTTAGAATTCCATTTGGTCCTGCGATGGGACATTTGCTTCCGCGCTTGCAGGATTTAAACAAGTCTTCATTATTGGCATCGAGGTTGGGGGACCGATTGGGGCAACCAACAATTATTGCAGGTTAGCTATATATTTGTAAAATTTTTTTATTGTACTTTAGAATACCATTTGGTCCTGCGATGGGACATTTGCTTCCGCGCTTGCAGAATTTAAACAAGTCTTTATTATTGGCATCGAGTCTTCATTATTGGCGTTGGTTTATTTTAATAAAAGCCCAAATTTAAGAAATTTTAGCATGATATGTTTGTTCCGTGCGTGTGTGCATTTTTGAATCGAAAGGATGCTAACACCTACAAGGAAGTCTTTGGCTATCTTCAAGCAAGGAAATCTTTGGCTATCTTCAAGCAAGGAAGTCTTTGGCTATCTTCAAGCAGCTGGCATACCACCTCCGCACAAATTAAAAACGGGTCGGATTTAAATATATTTTAGTTTTATAATTTTTTTTCAGATATGGAGCTAGCGTTGTACTGTGGTTTTAATCTTGCCTATCCCCACTCTGCGAGAAAGTGTGCTATTGTACTTTTCATTTTTTCAAGAGCGTTTATGGAGCTATTCAGGTTTTTAATTATAAAAGGTTAATGCAATTGTGTTTTAGAAAAACAACTTGTCTGATGTATACCTGGATCCTATTAACAAAATCTTCTTTCAAGGATTAATGGTTCTCACTTATGTTCGGCCGATCGATGTCAAGACTTATTTTCATAATCTCGTCAATTCCATTGATTGATTGATCGTCAATTCCATTGATCCATCACATTGATAGAGGAGAAAGGCTTTTCCAGCAACTTTGGGTCACAAGCCACACCGCGTGAGCGGGTTTGGCTTTGAAACTTTGCGTTTGAAACAACTCTAATCAATAGATGAAAGATCTAATACCTGAACGACCAAAAATCTCTAGTCAAATCTCTATGGTTGCTCTTACAAGCCGGAAAAATCATTTGATGGCTGAGTCTTCTTTTATGTGATGGAACTTTAGTTAACTTAAGCAAATTTAGTTTTGTTCGACTTTTTCGAGAAGAATTATATCGGTCATATGGGTATGGTCGATACATTTTTCCGCGGTATCCAATTGAAATGTGGAATTCGTTCGACTCAATTACGAAGAATGAACAAATTGGAAACTCTTCACAAGAGTCTTATAATGCAAAGCTAAAGGTTATAAATTTATTTTTTGTTGTTATTTGATAATTTAAGGGCATATCTTCTAAAGCTGCGTCTCAATTTGTCGCAACCAAATTGTTGGAAGTTGTACAAGAAATCGCAATTGATGACTGGACTACAACAAAAAAAACGTTGGCACAATTAAATCCGCAAAATCCTCATACTCGTAAGTCGCATCTGGATCGTAAATTAGCTGTGTTGAGTAGAAAACCCAATTCTGTTTCTACTACGGATCACTTGAAAGCTCTAGCAGCTCTAGCCCATTTATGTTCACCATCGCTAGTGTTATGATGTTTCAGGGTCTCTTGGACTATTAATTTGATGCTATTTTGATGTTTTTTATGCATCGTTTAATTGTTGGTCATGTTGTTTTTGAATAGATTATCAAAATTAAAAGCTGCTAATAAAAAAAAATGAATTGTACATTGTAAAAAAAAAAAAACTCTTTTGCATTTTGGGCGTTTTTTCATTGGCGCTGTTTTGAATACGACGCTATTTTGTGCAGCGCTGTTTGGTCGGCGCCGTTTTGGCAGCGCTGTTTTGGAATAGACCCCTAAATTCTCTTTTCGTCGGCCTTTCTCTGAATATCTTTTCTTTCTTTGAATATCTTTTCTTTTTCTGGATATCTTTTCTTTTTCTGGATATCTTTTCTTTCTCTGAATATCTTTTCTTCTCTCTTTCCCTTCCGCATCCCAATCTCTCCTTTTCTCACAAATGCCTAGAGAGCGTGGCAAAATCGGTGAAGGGATGGCTGGGAAAAAGGGAAGAGTCGTTGAGCAGCGGAGTGGTCTGGCGGGCGGCCGGCCGGTTAGCCGACCCTGACGCCACCGATCACTCCTCCCTTTACCCCTCCTTTACCCTCCCCATTCACCATGCACTCAATTGACAATTCCACCGCATCATTTAGTTCCTTGTTTTTGTTCATCGATTTTTTTCGTTTAACATCCGAGTACTAGTTTTTGAGACCGATTTTGAGAATCTTATTCTCCCTTATTCTTCTTCTTGCTTTGTTGATCATTTAGATATGCTTATTGATTAAAATTTAATTTTTTATGTTTCTCAAAATATTCAATCAACATCTAAATAACTTGAGAAACAATGCGGAAAGCTTACAATCTTTTATTTAAGATGTCAATAAGAGAGTCTATCCGTATAAATTGACTCAAATTTGTACGCCAGGCCTATTCCTAAAGTCATTTTTGGCCTATTTTTGGAAAGGTCAAAGAAAGGTCTTTTGATTTGCAAGGGAAGGTCAACTGGTTGAGACGGCCAAATGCTCAACGAACCATTCGACACAGAATTTTATGCTGATCCCAAGTATGCATTCCGCTTTGCTAAATGACAATGACAATGCTAAATGTCAGGAGTTATAAGCGTCTAAAGTTTTTTTAGAACTCTGAAATTTAGTTTTGTTCGACTTTTTCGAGAAGAATTATATCGGTCATAAGTTTTGTTAGAACTCTGGTCTTAGCGGCCACCTTGCGGACCCGATTCGGTGCAGTCGTGGCCGAGCCGTAGGCCGTTCGATTCCACTTCCGATTTTTCGTTTGCTTTATCGTTTGCTTTATCATTTTCAAGAAGTTACGTTCGTTTACAAATCCTAGTATTCTTTGTGCGCTTGATAGTTGACCTTTCCTTGTTAGTCTCTAACAGACAAATGCTTTAAAAGATCTAACAGTTGGAACTAGGGCAGATCAAAAATTGTACGCCGCCGGGACTCGAACCCGCTACCTTTCGCTTGCATTACAACTGTGTTACCAGGCACCAGGCAACTGTGCTAACCATTACACCACCACTCACTCGATTCCCCTTACTCCAGAGGGAGTTAAGTCAACCAGTTAGGTCAGATCTCTCCCACGAGTCAGGTTTGGAGCTGAAGCTGGCTTTTGGTCAGCCTGGATCAGCTTGGGCCAACAAATATCCAAGTCCAACTTTCGTACTAGGTTTCAAGCTCAATATCAAGCCAATATCGAGCCAATATCAAGCCAATATCAAACCCAATATCCGATTTTTGTTTATCCTATCCAAATTTCATAAATTTCTTCTCAATTTCATAATTCCACTAGACGAAAAGTGCTGTTGTTCTCATTTTCCCCTTTTTCTCAGACTTTTTCTCAGACGAACTTCTGGAGTTCATCGAAAGATCACTGACTCATCTATTTTGCGATTGTCGAGAAAAAAGCTGTTGACACGTATGTTTAAACTCTTCAAAAACTCATTTCAAATTTCTTTTAGCTAAAATTCTTGCATTTTTTGCCATTTTTTTTGCCAAAAGCCATTTTTTGCCATTTTCGAAATGAATGGGCCCTTGATGACGAGTTTTTTTTTGTGAAAATAGCGAAAAAAAATTTTTTGGGGTTGCCCCTCGTAACCACTTTCCGAAGACCCAAAAATTCTATGGCTTCAGAAAAACCGAAAAAGATTTAGAAAATTCTAAAAGAGTTATTTCAAGAGAAACTTGGATAATTTCATTTCAATCGAAATCTCATTTCTCCCAATCAAGACTTGCTAATTTTTCTCTCATTTTCAATGTACTTTATGCTCTGACGCTTTCTAGTACACTCTAGGAAATGTCTTTCTAGGAAATTTCCGTTTTCACTTATCAAAAGCCGATCTTTTACTCTCCAAGCTTTCTTTTCTCAAATTCTTTATCTTGAACGACTTCTTGAACGACTTGAACGACTTGAACGACTTCTAAAATCAATTCTAGCTTCATCATTTTCTCCCAAAATCATCCAAATCGATGCCTCTTTTCGGACATCGTCCACCCCGTCATTTCTTCCAATTTCTATCAATTCTTTTATTCATTCTTCCATTTATCGTCACTAGCGGCGAGGCACCCAATTTCCCGTTTGAAGAATGCAAAAATGGAGTCAGGTCATTGTGAATGAAAAAAGCCAAAACCTAAACTGATTCCAGATTGGAAAAGCTCAAAAACAAGAACGGCTCATTTTCGGTGAAAGAAACGAACGATTGCTGCGCCGGCTATTTGAGGGACGATCAAAAGGGGACTTGTTCTCGTGAGTGATTGAAAAATGTTGAGAATCTGAAAAATATTGAGAATCTAAAGTACCAAGCACATTCCTGACTAAGAATTTTCCAAAAAAGTTGAACTGTAAAAAGAAACGAAACCAATTTTTCTGAAAAATTGGAAAAATTGAGAAAACAGAAATCTTAACGTACCCAAGATTTCCGCTCAATTCTGGTTTTCTATAAAACGCAATTTTGCAAATCTATCGTAATCCCGAATCAAAACCCCAATTTCAGCTTGTCCAACAGGGTGGACGGGTCGCCTTTGTGATTTACCTTGCGCTGAAGGATTTCACGGGCCAGCCTGTGAATATCGATGCACGGATTGTACGCAATGCGATCGTTTCACTGGGCAATGTCATGAATACGGTAATTTTATATAATCAAGGAATAACAATCAAATCTGGAATGGAGTTTGAAAGTTCAAGCAAACGATTGAACTTTCAATCACAAGATAGTTTACACGTTGATTGGGGTTATAATTAATCAGTCTTAGATCACAATACAGTTCTTCAATCTAAAAAAACTGATTAAAGAATTAATTCGCTCAAAGCTGACTGCTTATTTCTATCTGTAACCCCAACCAACGCTTGAACTTCAAACCTTATTCCAGATTGGAGTCGAGCCTGGGCTGACGGTCGACTTTTCCTCTCCGTTGTCACGATACTTCTAATCTGTTTGGCGGTGGCTGTTCTTTCGATGGCCGTCGCATACACGATGTTCTATCGGAGAAGGTGGAGTCAAAGCTCAAGAGAAGAACGAACAAGGTCTGTAGCTATCCAAATCTAGAACTTCCTAAAACAAACCCTTTCAAGCTTATCAACGTCAAAGATCCAATGTTAACTATAATTTAGGATAACATCTGATGTGGATGCCCCAGCCGAAAATCATTCCGATGCCTCTAAAGTCTAAAATATTTCAATCAAAGCTTCACAACGGGTTCAACACGGGTTATATTATAGGTATTTCGACAATTATTATTCCTACAAGAACCATCTTTGCTTTAGGGTAGAGATGGCCCAACAAACGACATTCTCCTCGTCTTTGGTGTTTTTAAATGCTATAAATATTTATTAATTTTTTTTAAACAAACCCGTAAGCAAAATAACAGTTCAAAAAAACAGAATTTAAAAACCACAAAAAAACAATCACCTTAGAAAAATTGGTAGCGCTTTGCGTAGACGAGCTTTTCTTCCTCTCAACTCGGCTCGTTGTCGCATTTGATCGCCGAATAGAGAGAACACACGTCCCTCCAAGATAAATTGAAACACCGTGCCTTGTTTTGGGATGACTAAAATGATGACTGATTTAAAAACAAAATTATGCAAATGTCACTCACTAAGGAATTTATCTTCTCTCGTGATAAGTTGCATCGTGTATCGTGTTTCCAAAACAACGATTCCCGCGATTCCCACCTAAATCACAGTAAATACATAAATACTCTTTTAAAAGTTCAATCTACAAACCTGGCATTTATTATCAGCTTCTGTGATCATAAGTAAAGCGCCGTGAAAGTCAGCCTAAAACCAGCAAATTGTTTTATTCGAACTGACCGATATAAAAGATATTTGCACCAGTTGAAATTCGTCCTGCATTTTAAATTTTGTACATTTTCGAATTGAAATCTTGTCTTGTTCGTGGTTAAGAAATTCCTTTGGTGTAAATGTCTTTGGTCTTCACGGTTCACGTTTGTTCTCATTGGTTTAAAAGATCCAAATCTACCTTGAGAAGTTTTTCGTCGATCTGTCGATCTGCGGGCGCCATTTCCCCGAAGTACTTGCACCATAATTCGTATAAAGGCTCGAACTGGGAATATCTATAAAACTGACATTGAAAATAACCAAAATGAAACGACTTGAGCTGTTTTTTGTCCTCAGCGGTGAGTCGATTCCGCACCAGATTCGTCTTTTGTCGTCTCGGCGGTCGTTTTGGGGGTTTCGTGGCCTCGAAGTAGACGTACTTCTTGTCGAGTCTCATTCTCTAAACATTCACTGTTTTATGCAACTTTGACTTGTCTTTCTTCACATTTAATTTTTTTGCTTTCTTTGAAATAAACCCCAAAGTTCAAACCTTTCAATGTTTTAAGCATTAAATTCGAAAAATAAAATTTTATTAACCATAAAACAACCCATTAAATTTCAGATAAGACAAAACAAGGCGATTAATAGTATTAATAGAATTTTTCAGAGACTAGCAGTTAAGCGTAAACATAATAAATCCAACAGGAAAAATTATTACAGCAATTACAAGAACGGGGGGTTGAACCTTTATGACTTGTAGTGCGTAAAACACAAAAAGAGAATACCCTTGAATTATTACAGTTCTGAGCTGAACTCAGAAAATCATCACAATTTAACACACAATAAACAATAACGAAGAGATCTAAAAGGTCTAATCAATGATAGTAATATGCAAAAGTGTATCTTGCAGAGACACTTTCATTTACATGGCAGCCTGACGTCGTTTACGCATCAAACGTTCCTCGACACGTCGCAATTCCTCCAGTAGCTCTTCCTTGGTCTTTGGGCGTTCTTGTTCAGAAGACCCACGCTCTAAATAAAACTTTGAGTCAGGTAGATCATTAAAAAAATTTATAGTTTTCAATAACTAGCTTTATCTTCAACTAATCTGAATATGTGATTCAAGTTCAACCAATTAACGCACCTCTATTCTTTTTCTTATCAAAGGAACGATTTGAATCACGCCGCATTCGCTTCTCTGGAGGTGGCGCTGGTGGAGGACTATCCCTTGATGGAGGTGGTGTGCGAGATGGAGATCGAGCATTTCGTCCCCTTCTCCGGTTGATTGAGGATGTAGGTGGCGACTTCTTGGCCGATGGTGGTGAGATCTAAACAGTTATAATAGAAGTGCTAGTGTGAAAGCAACTCACTCGCTTAGCCCTTGCTTCTGACTTTTGAGTCTCCGTCAGTTCAGGATTGGCGTTGCGATATTTAGCGGGAAGAGCTGGGCTTTTTGACTTGGCAGATGCACCGGATTTTGAAGAGCTTGAAGATGAAGAAGATCGAGATGACGAAGAAGAAGAGGACGTCGAGGAACGGGACGAAGATGACTGACCAGACTAAAATAAAGATTTTGAATAAAGTTTACAGTCAACTAATCATAAATTTAATTCTCAATCTTACTCCAAGAACAAACCTCATCATCACTAATAGCTACAGCTCCAGTTGGTGCCAAATCAATAGGTGAAGCTGTCTTATCTCGAGCCGATTGTCGATTTAGCGGGAATCGCCGTCCTCGCGTAGCGTCACCATTTCCTCGTGATCCAACGTCACGCCACGGCGATCTGCGATCCTCCGATGAAGAACGAGCATAACGAGTACTAAAAAAGGATAACTTTAAAAGAAAAAAAGTGACTTACCCAGAATTTTGCTGACGTCTCTTAGGAATTCTATAAGAAGCGATATCGCCGGTTGGTGGAGATCGTGCAGAGTGGCTAGACGATCCACTAAAATAATACATATTGTAGCTTTTCCACCCATCCGCAAGCTGACCTTCGTGTTCGACTTCTAGTTCTTTGATTGATGGATGATCGCTTGCCTCTAGGGAAATCATTTCCCGAGGACCTATGGCCTAAAACAACTTGCTTTTTTAAAAATTTTACAGTAACTTTACTTTCAAATGGTCTGCTAGATGAGCGACTTCCTGAACGAGAGAGTGATGGAGAACGCGAAGAGGCAGAAGAGATTGCTTCGGGCCGAGGAGGTGGTGAACGTGATCGACGGCTAAAAAACGTATTTAAAATATACTCAATAACGCAAGCTTATCATCCTACTTATAAGAATAAAACCTTACTTTGATGAAGAGAGTCTTTGACCATATCTCGCAACAGTAACAATTTTCTTTCCTTTCCCATCAGCCGGGTACACACATTGTGGGCCGAGGCCTAAATATGTACACTTATCGAGTAAAAAAATTTCGCCATTTCCTTCTGACTTAACTGACAATCAAATAAATGTTGTTACCACTGAAATCAAACTTTAACTATTGAAGTTTGAAGAACCATTCCACTCTACATGCCAATCTAGCAACAGAAAAAAAACAGATATTGTCAGTCGTTTAAAAGAAGCTGGGATACTGTCTGCACCAGATGCATAATAGGAAAAAAACAAGCAACTACTAAAATCTCGACGAATGCTTACTAAAGCTGTTCCTTTTTGGAAAATTGTTAATCTGAGAAGCAGGTAAAAGGGGTGCGAAAAGATGAACAGATGAAAGAACGTGACTAACCATTGCATTTCAATTCATTGTTAGCCACTGGATGCTCAAATTCCTCCCATGTATTTGAGCGTGAAGAGCGCGAGCGCAGTTGCCTTTCTTTTCCCTCCTTTTCCTCTTTGCGACGTTGTGCATCTTCTCTTTGTAAAATAAGATCAATGCGTGTCGTATCATCATCTATGAATACATAGGATTAGCGAAATCTATAAAGTCGTGCAAACAAGGAAGAAATAAGAGAATTCAGTTCATTCCCACTCAAGTCAAACATACAACAAAAAGCGTTATTTAGCACACACAAAAAACATTGATCAGCATGCTTTTTTTATTCTCGACCCCGCAGAACTATAAAATTTAAAAAGCATACCTGCTGGCAAATCGTAGTCCTTGTAGCGATTGTTTTTGACTCTTCGAGGTGGAGGCAGGTCCATTGAAAGCAGAGAAGGAATTCGTTGACCACTAAAACAAATCTTGTTTCAAAAACTAAAGATTTAAAGTTAGAGCTATTCAATGATGAATAATTATTCTCAAAATCTGCAACTTTTATAATCTTTACCTCTCATCATCGCTATCATGTGCCCAATCTCTTTCGTCGGATGGAGCGAGATGCATTCGTTTGTCTGCAAAATCCGGGTCCTTTTTCTTCTCACTAGCTCTCTTCATCAGCTAAAAATATTCAATAAAGCGTTTCCTATAAAAATATCTCACCTCTCGAGCTTCGCGCATTCCTCGATCCCATGCAGTTTCTGGCTTTGCCGGGAGAGGTCCTCTGGAAGCGCCCGAAACACCCGGTGCTCCAGGATAGCGATTGGCAGAAGTTGGATACTAAAAAGCACAATTACAAAGAACTTTTTTTCACATGCAACACAATAAGCCACAAATTTTAATAAAACTTGGTTAGAGCAAAAGATTTAAAATCGTGCGCACTACAATTTGCAAAATCTAGATAAAAACATCATGCTATTCTACTATGCCAACCTTTTTATAAAAATCGCGACCGCGAGATGGGCTTTGCGTTGGTCCACTGATGCGTGGGTGCTAATAAAAGAGAATGTTGCTGTCGAAAATGTCGATGATACCTTTGCTTTGAAATTTGAGTCATCATCAGAGTCGCTGATTTCTCCATCTTCAAGCTCACCATCTTCTAGATCGGAACGAGGTGGCTGAAAAGAAGAAAATTAATGACTTTTAGATTATTCTACCTTCTGTTTTGCTGGCTTTTTCACTTTAGGTTCATCGTCGCTCTTGATTTCTCCATCGTCCGATTCGCTCACTTCACCGTCTTCGACTTCTTGATCGGCATTTTCTGGCTCATCCTCGTCGTTAGAATTTTCCTAAAACAGTTTATCAAGATTGGAAAAAATTTGTAAAAAAAACCTCGATTCTAGGTGGCTCTTCACTGTAATCCAAATCGATTTCTTCCTCATCGATACTTCTTGTACTTCCTTGTGGAGTAGCTACCGGTTCATCACCATCGTTTTCAGAAGCCGATCGAGTGTTTGATGCAGGATTGGTACCTAAAAAAATAGAATAGTCATAGGTTGATGTAGGTTGGTGAAATCTTTCTTTATTAACCGTGAAAAATTTACTAACAAAATAAAACTCAACTACTTAAAGCCCAAAGAGTTTACCTTCAATTTCCTCCTCGACTTCTTCATTTTCCTCAACTAGGCTCTCTTCTCCCTCATCCGACGATATCCGTTCAGCCTCGGCGTCCGACATGGCTGCCTAAAACAGAAATCTCTTCCTCGAATTTAAAAGTTTTTAATAAAAATTTTCAAAAACCCCGTCTTAAAATCATCTGAAATATCTAGCAAATGGGCAGTACTTATTCCCGTTGATGAACGGCGGCGTCTTCTCAGAGAACTCAGTACGGAAATACGGATAGTATAACGAGAGGGACCAAAACCAAAATAATATGCTTGTTGGGGAAGTAAACCGGGGGTTTTCTGTCTTTCCAGCTCCTGCAAAACGTTGTGGGCTCTCGGACATTTTAATTGTGGCTCGATAAAGAAAATAGGTAAGTCAACAATTTTTTTAGAGAAGGCACAACAAATTGCTCGAAAATGTAGGCGTAACTATCGATTGTGGTTAGTTGGGGAATCCGGTGCTTTCATTTACACGACAATCGAGAAAAGAGCGCAATGCGAAACGTGACGCGAGGAAAATCGAGCGTTAAATAAAAGACAACAAAGTTGCGGAGGCTTATGCGAGGGTTTTTGGGAGGGGAAATACAAAAAAATCGACAATTGCTAATTTATCTGCTTTACCCTATGCTTTATCTGCTTTACCATATATGGTAAAGCACCATATGCGAGCGCTGTAGGCAAAATAGCAAAGATTTCAAGTGTCAAACGTTTAATTGTCCTTTTTCGATTTAAAAAAAGTACCCGGAACTCGCCGAAGTGGGGCTTAGGTCGAAAATAAAATTACGGACGAAGAAAAATTTAGAAAATGCGCACAAAACTTGCAAGCTAAATACTGAAGTATCAAGCCAACGACAAATTTAATGCTATTCAGTCAGACAATTGAATATTTTCAATTTTAATTTAGCCTATAAGAGGATTTTGGCCCCATAAAGCTGACCTCGGGAGTGGGACAAATGCTACCTTTTTTTTGCGCACCCGGAGATTTGCGCACCTTGCCCATTAGCGCACCTTTTTTCGCGTTTTAAAAAAGCTCGAAAAGCTAATATGAACCAATTTATATCCCAAAAGTTGTTTTTCTAGGTAATTTTAGGGCGTAGAATCGAAATTTTGGCATATCAGAGCTTATGGAAACGAACGGACGGAGTTATGCAAAGAGAAAGATCGACAATTTTCTGTAATTTGATCTAGCTGTTTTGTCTTTCGAATTGGTTCCACACGCTCTGTTATGTCAAAATTTGAATTCGACACCCTCAAATTACCTAGAAAAACAACTTTTGGAATAGAAATTGGTTAATATTGGCTTTTTAGAGCTTTTTAAAACACGAAAAAAGGTGCGCTAATGGGCAAGGTGCGCAAATGTCCAGGTGCGCAAAAAAAAGGTCGCATTTGTCCCACTCCCCTGGCCTCCATAAATTTCTGTAGCTTTTTCCTCAAAAATACCTCTGGCAAGTGCCAAAAATAGTTTTTCTAGGGTTTTGCGGCCACACATCGATTTGTAATACATGTTGTAAATGTAACACATGTGGAAATATTTTCGAAGCTCTACGGCCTTTCCTAAGGCCTTTTCCAGCGAAAAAAAGATGCGCTTTTTGCCTGTCGGGTGCGCAAAAAAGGTCGCATTTATCCCACAAAATAGCTTCTATTGGAGACTGCGTTTCTTTAATAAATAATAAAGAATAAATACGATAATTGTGTTCCTCAATTACCTATTTGTCTTTTATAAAAGTTTAATTTAGGAATAACAACAGCAAACTTGACCCTTCTATGGCAGTGGTGAAAACCGAAGTATATATTTGGCTTTTATCAAATTTTAACTTTACACTTCAGATAAACGTGGACCCGTCGGAAGAGGTCTTTCGCATCATCGAGGATCAGCAAGATGGAATCGATAACGATACTCTCAATCATCTCACTCCCAGTCTGTCAATCCTGGAACGACAGGTATTCTTTTGACCAATTATAAAACGAATGACTCGGGAAATTAGTTTGTATGCTTGAGTGTTTAAAAAGAGCCGAACTTTAGGTACTAATAGAGTTCGGGGCGGACAATTTTTCTTGACCCGACCAGAACCTATTTTAGGCGTGTTGTTTCTAGTCTGGTTTTGCATTTTCTGGGGTAATCAAATACGCTTAATCTATTGGTGATGCTTTTAGAGTGTTTTGAATAGTTTTCACTTTGTATTTCACCCCTGGCCTCATTTTCTAGCGTTGCGGCACTGCGGCAGTTATACTTCAGCTAGCTCAATAAAACATTAGCAAAGATTGTTCAGAACTTTCTAAAAATATCGCCAATAAATTCAGCATGTTTGATTGTCCCAGCAAAAAAAATGAAATAACGTTGATAAAACGGTCGAAAAATACGATCTGACCAAATGAGATCAGAGCGCCCCACCCGAACTTTGTATTTAGCATGCAATCAACGCTTTGCTCGCTGATCAACGACTAGAAATCTTAAAACAGGGTGAACAAATCAAATTCCGGTGCGTTTGAGGTATGTTTTTTTGCTATTTTGTTTTTTAGGGTAAAGAAAGGAACACAACTTGCCGGCGTATCTCAAGAAGAGCAATTGGTAAGTAAGGGCATTTGTTATGTTAGAAATGTGCTTTAGATTTACCAACTGGTCGAAGAGAGCGCCACAAATGGTATCTGGATTCGAGAGCTTCGCGAAGGATCGGGTCTTTCGCAGATACAATTGCGAAAGGTTTTGAAGCAATTGGAGACACGGAAGTTGATCAAAACGGTCAAGGTATGTTTGGTGTTATAGTGGCTTGAGAAAGCCCTTTGTTTAAGTCATTTTTTTTTGTCTTTATAAGGTTAAAACATTTCCCGGAGTATTCAGCTTCTCTAAATATATTGGCAATTTTAAAATCTTGAATTTTACGCCATTTTGGGCAAAAGATCTATTATTTTAAGGTTAAAATCACAAAATCAATACTGTTTTTAGGCTGTTGGCACAACACGAAAATGCTACATGCTCTCTCAACTTGAGCCGAGCACTACGTTAACTGGAGGGACTTTTTATTCAGATCAACAATTAGACACGGAGCTCATTCAAACGATGGTATCTCAAATTACAAATTTTAAATAAGTAAAAAGACTTATTTAAGGTCACACTTTGCGTTGGTTTTTTGCAAGCGAGGAGACGAAAAGCAATCGAAGAGGCCAAAAATAGCATCGAAATGCAAAAAGAGCTCAGTCTCGTTCGACCCTCTGAGGTGTTCATAAATTTTCATTCGTGTTAATTTTGTTTTTAGATTTCTGCGTACATTGTCGAGAAACGAGTTTTGAAGATGGCTGTCAGCGATGAGGACATTGATCGAGTACTTGAAGTGAGTTGTTACCAAGATAAATTAAATTTAGCTAACAGTGCTAGTTTTAGGTTGCAATTCTTGATGGATCAGTTGAAAGACGCCCTGATGGAAGATTGCGGGCTATCGCAGATGGTATTTTGCCATTTAAATTCAGCACCCTTCAACTTTTTATTTAGGAATTCGTACTTCGGCCCTTGTTACGATTCCGTGCGCAACTTGTCCGGTAAGTGTTATAAAAACAATTTTCAAGTAGGAAAGGAATAATTTTACTGATTTTTGTCTTTTCCAGGTCATTGACGATTGCAAACCGGGTCACGTCATATCTCCTGCAACTTGCCAGTACATGAAGGATTGGATAGGATAACGTTGGTAATTTGTTTGTTACTTCATTTGTTACATTATCGGGTATTTTTTGTTATTGATTCTTGTTTTGTTTTGGATAAATTTTGAAATTTAGAAATAACTATTTATCACAGCTGATAAAAAGAATAAACTTATCATACACACCAAAGAGCAACAAAACCCTTAAACCAAATGGCCAGCGACTTAAAAAGTAAATTCACTGTGGCTGCGGTGGTTGAGCATTCGGATCTCTTTCCTCGGTACCATTTCCTCCAACAAAGTCCTGGATCATCCGTCGCACTGCGTCCATCAAGTGCTCGCCCTAAACAAAGAGAAATCAATCAATGAGGATATCCACGATTCTATTTGAAAAGGAATCTCGGGTCTTTTCCAGGCTCAAGTACCCTTAACCCTTGAAATTGCTTTCCTATCCCCATCAACCTGCCAGTACCCGTATTCTTCAATTCTATCATATTTTTGTAAGAAAAATGTTTAATGCTCGTCGCGTCGTGCAACGTAGGTCTATTTTGTCTTTCTAATGTCCTTAACAGGCTTGTTAGCACTTATTGAATATCTTGAGCAACATGGATAATCTCAAGACAAGCCCAATTAGCAAATATTTTTTTGAAATCCTACTATTTGCTACTAGATCTCAAGTGTCAAACACCCATTCTTAAACCCTCGCGTTTCCCCTCAGCTGAGCCTTATTGCCGTTATAAATCGGGAATGTCTTCCAAAAAAACCGAAGCGCTTTCTTCGAGCGTAAAGACTTTGCACTGAAAGATTAATGAAATAGATTCTTGAATGAGCCGGCTGGTGGGAGGGGGCCCTGAACTCCCTAAAGACACGAAATGAAATTGCACTTCCGCTTAGCAAAAAAAAAGAGAATCGACTTTTTTGCACCGCACAAAACCCAAACCACTCGTGATTTGGTAACCGGCGCTAATAATAATCTATTCAAAGAGAGATCCAAGAGAACGGGGGCGTCCATTTGCGGATTAGAGCCTACCCGACAAAAAATTCGCCTGAAAAGAGTTCTTTTCATTAAATCATCTATATTCCTATTTTCAACAACTTCTCACATATTCTTCCATGCTTTTACGACCAAGTAGAGCAAGTGCCACTTTCAGTGAGTTTTCTTCGATTCAAGTGAATTCCTCTTTTTTTTACTCACTTTTCTCCCCCTCTTTTCACCTTTTCTTCCCTCAAAGCTTTTCTCGAATAGATTAGTGGAATTAAATTCCCCCTTGGTTGCGTGGTAACCCCATCATCTTCTAACATCTCGACTATTTTATCCTTTCAAAGAAACAAAAACGCCTATCATCCCCGGTCACGGGCCATTAATTTTTCTTTTCAAAGAGTCACGATTTATGCTATTGAGGTCGAGTCGTCCTAGTCATACTCTATGTAAGGAATTGATTTAGACACGTTGTTTTGATGTTCAAATTTATATCGCAAACAATAGGGCACTAACTAGAGGGATTTTCAACGCGAAAAAAAAATAATCGCAACCTTTTTCCATGAGAAACAATTCGGTTCATGGTTTTTCAATAATTTTCTCTGGCCATGCGAAATTGGGTTTCCCCGCCCCTCAAAAGGGAGGGTTTTATCCAGAGAGCTTCTTTCTTGCGTTTTTTACACACCCCCACTCGCTCGCTCGTTTATGAAACATTCAAAATCTCTTTCTAAACACGATTTGAGTCATATTTCTCATCCCAGATTTATCGATTGCTCTGAAAGCGGCGAAAATTATTCACCGAATCGTTTTCGCTTTTCGGCGTATGACCGCTACAGGAGACGGAGTTAGATTAGGTACAATAATCATAGACCTTATCTGTTTGATATTTTGATTGAATAGATCTAAAAATTCCAATGATCCATAGATGTGAGTCATTGGACGTGCTAAATTGCAATCAAATTACTTATTCAACTCATTAAGCACCAAAGAAAAGTTGCCAATCCGCTCAAAAAGCCTCATCAAAAACCCAATAATCAAATCGAATTTTCAGCTAGTCTTGAAGAAGATACAAAAGTTTTTCGACAAGTCGAAGGGATCACTCTTACGTGGTGAGTCTATTTGATGGCTAGAATTTTTTCAATGACCAATTTCCTCTTCAAATTTTTTATGACATCCGGGGCAAACTTCGAGGGGCCTCTAAATCGCCGTGGGAATGTGGATAATTGGTCCTACTTTTTGGAAAATTTTTGATGAAAGAGTCGAAAAATGGATTTACTCCCGAAAACGATAAAAACTTTCAACCGAATTCTAAAGCCGAAAATTTTAGCGTCGAGGTGACGGTTGCCGTCGCTCTTTATGTTACTGCGATGACATCACTTGTGCTTATCTTCGAAGCTATCAAGCCGTCAGTCAGTCAATACATTTAGCATCATTTTTTGATCTCCATTTGTTAATCTCTTGCTAGATATTTTGCTTTATAACAAAATTTAACGGGTATCTTGTCGAACAATCTAAACTTTTTCATCCATCCTAATCCAGAGTATTATCAAAGTTTTATCGGGTCCCTATGCCTTTTCAAATCCACTCTTTCCCCAATAAACAATTTGATTTTGTTGAACGTTTTTTGCATAAAATTTTAAAGAACACTCACTGGTTGATAATCGGGATAGATTGAATGGAGAAAGCCGCTGAGAAACCCGTCCACATGTTGTGGTGGCAACAAACTCTTCGTATATCTAAAGTAATTGGCATAAGGAAGATAACTTTCAAACTTACCGCGCACGTCCATTTGCCGGCGGAAGTGGATCAGTAATTGATGTAGCCGAATGATCGACACCAACAAGAAAGGCGGCGCGTCTCAAGTTGAGTGGAACACCGACAAAGGAACGAAATCGTCTAAATAGAATATTTAATTCATTATACATAGTATAAATACACGGTTTACTACAAAGCATCTACCTCACTTTCCATTCTTCCATTTTCTTCGCCAGAGTCTCACGACGAATCGTTTGTCGAGTGATGTTCTCAAGCCACCCAATCACATTTGGAGCCTAAACTGCTTTAGCTGCTGATAAAATCTTCTTCCCACCTTCCAAAGTTCAGCGGTTTGTTTCACATAAATTTTGATGAGCAATTGAAGACCCTCGGGCTCTCTAAATCCAAATGAATCATTTTTCGTAGAAAGTTTCATACTTGGCAAAAGCGGTGCCCTTCAAATAGGCATTATTCTCCACTTCTGAATCAGGCTGCATTTGGAGTTCGTTCAAAATCTCGGTCACAACACTCGGATGGGCGATGATGGCTTGTTCGAGCTAAAAAAAAGCTCAGATCAATACAGAAGACTTTTTATTACCAAAATATCAGCATCACTTTGTTTCTCCAAGTATGCTGCCAGAGCCAACGAGTAGAGCCAATTAGGTAACAGTTCGAGTTTTTTCCATTCCTGGAAGTAAATCAATACAAGTCAGCTAGTTATCATACATTTATAGCCGCGAAAGTTTGTCGTAGCCACGAATATTGTTTTGCCCGAAGAGCGATAGAATCTAACACGAGTAACACGCCAAGTGGATCACCTAAAAATGGGGAATCCAGGTTTATTGCATCAGAAATCTCAACCTTGAGGTTCCAATCCAAAGAGCAATTTTCCAATGTTCAGAGCCGTTTTGAAGCATCTAAAATAAACTACAAGATAAGGCATAAGTTTTAAAATCACCTTTTATGAACACAATTAAGCATGTGTCTATGCAGTAACAGGAAAAATGCTCGATTCTCATAGACAGCATAATCAAGTCGGTGTTGCCAAGAAAATACCTAAAATTTAAAGCATTTTGTAGTTTTAAATAGGCCTTACCTGAAACAATGGATGAAAAGCTTGTTCGGCAAAGAAAATCCCGCGCTCTAAACAGTCAGTTTATCTTTGAAGCAATAAATCGCAAACCAATACAATCACAACACTGTGTGATATCGTCTTGCATCCGAAAAACGTTTGCATACATCAAGAGTCCATTTAAATGATAGAACGCGGAAGACAAGACCTATAGGCAAAATTTTGTGAATGAAATGTCAAGATTTACCTCATTCACAAGTTCATGATTGAGTGTATCTTCGGCAACCCAACAGAGACGTTCACATTTTTCATAGTTCCTAAAAAATAGTTTTGTTGGAAAAGAAACATTATTATACCCGTTATGACTAAATCGAAACCATTTAAGACCGATCGGAAATTGACGTTCAACATCGGGTTCCATTGAAAGGCCTAAAATTTAATGTAGATAGTTCTAACGTCAATTTTGCGTCTAGGTAAAAATATTGCTCACCTATCGCTTTTGGTGCTGGCCAATTCGTCTTTGCTTTGGCGATTCGGCCCCAACCGGCTTTATGTACAAAGTGCGCAGTTTCGCGAGTCGAAGAAGAGGATTCGCGAAGCACTTTGCCTAAACATTTCCAAAATAGAGCAAAACGCTGAACACTTGCCTAGGACCCGTTTTAGCTCCTCGGTCGGATCCAATTGTCGGGGATCGACCTTGAACAATTCCTCCACGCCCGCAGTTTCACCCAACTCACCTTCTTCACTCGCGTTGACCGTCTAAAATCCATCATAAATACTTGGGAAAAATAAAATCACCATGATACGAGCTTCGGCAGCAAGTCTCTCAAGCAAAGTATCGTCATCTTCTTTCTCTTCGTCCTTATTCTTGGCATTCTTGGCTTTCTTCTTCTTGTTTTTCTTTTCCTTTTGCTTTTGTTTCGATTGACTTGGTGCGAATGTTCCTTGAACTTCTTCTAAAGCAAAATAAAGTATTATTATTTGATTGCTAAATTTACCGTCGTCTTCTCCTAAATCTTCATCCTCCAAAAATTGAAAGCGATTTGTGTTTCCCTTCGTTTTCGGCTCCTCGTCATCAGATTTGTCGTCGTTTTGCTGAAAGCAACAAATGTGTTTCAAAACTATAACTAAGCAATACTTTAAAAATCTAAATGAACCGATTTTCTTGGAGTTTTTTGAAGTTTTTGAGTAGTAAGTTTGCTTTGACCACTCGTAAAAGTAAAATGACCACACATTTTTCAGAAAACTAGTTTACATTTGGCACTAAACAGAAAAGCTATACCTCGTTATCTTGAGCTTCTTTCTCTTGAAGTAATCTCCTCAAATGTTTCGTGGACATCTAAAAAGAGATCGCAATATTTCTGCTTTTCGTAACAACGGAAGTAATCTTTATCAATATAAAATGCGGTAGTTGAAACTTTTGCCCGAAATTCGTGAATGAAACAAAAAGTTTATTTAACCAATATAAACTATACGATGACGACCAAATTTGAAAGACTCGTAATCGTTCTCAAAGAAAATCGCATACTGTTCAGAACATGAATAAAGCAAATAACTATCTATGGCTAGCCTATCGGCAAATTTATTTACAAATAGCGGATTTGCAAAACACAACGAGAAAATGTTGGCATTTACTTCTTTTCACTATTCGTTGCGTAGTACTTCTCAGGCATCCAAGCTGGACGATGTGGTACAATTGGATGTTTGTCGACGGAAAGCGTTCGGCCCGTTGAATTCAGCTGAAGAAGGGCAAGACCGGCACCGTTTGTTGAAGCCACCGTAGCGCCAACCTGAACAAAGATCATTAGGTTAATCTTTCAAAATAGATTACACTCAGAAGTTATCGTGCAATTTTAAAATCAGCATAATCGTTATAGTCATTAAGTCGCGCCATAGCACATAAAAACCCGCGCTTAAATCAAATTCTTTCCCACCTTTCGTCCCTCATCATCCAAAACCTCGCCGCTTGGTGCTAGCTTTTCGTCGCACCTAAAAGAAAATTATTAACCAGAAATTTTCGTGTTGCAAAATGTGATAGTTGTTAAACGCAAATGAACTCACGTGAACGGAATTATTCTCCTTCGAATCACTCCCGTGTGAGCCGTTCGTGCTGTCAATTCTTGTCCAATGTAACATCCCTTATCAAGGGAAACATACTGCAAGATATCGCCATTTGCCTAAATTAGAATTATTTCAAAATAAAATTCTTTATAGGTACCTGAAACGGTAGCATGTCATCGAGCTCCTCCTTTCCTTCAGCAACTCCAACGGAAAAACGGAAGTTTGTGTACTCCTAAAAATAAAGTTACACCAGAAACTTCTACAAAACAAACTTCAATTGGCGCATTTGCCGTATGTTTTCCGATAAGTCTGAATCCAAGCCCGGCCGTTCGTGGATCTGGTAGGTTTGTAGGTGCAGACGAGTAGAATATAGCGTCCTCAGATTCCGTGATTTCAGCCTAAATCAAATTATTGGGGCTACTATTAGATTAAATTCACTTGTTTCCGCATTTTGTACTTTTCCAAAATCTGCTTCAGTTCTCCTCGATGTTTACTTGAACATTCGACAAGCAGTCCTTCATCGTGATTGTAAATGAGCAGATCCTCGACAATTCGTCCTTTCGTGTTCAGCAAAAAAGCCGCCATGAGTTTAGCTTCTTTTAGGCGTCTAAACAAAAAGTACAAATATATTCAACCGTGTAACTAAAGATTTATCGTGATTTTTGATTCATCTTTGATTACATTCTAAAGATTTTTAGAGTTTACAACCTTAAAGTTCTTCTAGATTCTTCTACGCCCGAATACGCTTATTTATTTAATTAGCCTCCGATTTCAATTTTGCTTATTCTGTATCTTCTCACAATTCTTGAACCTTTCTACACCCATAAACTAGAATAAAAACAAAATTTCGTCACCTTATGTCATTCGTGACCAATCCTTGCATCAATCCAACAGCATCGGGGCCTCGTACGGAAAGAAGAGCTCTCGTCGTGAGCTGGATAATTTTCGACATGTCTAAAAGAAAACTTTTAATAAGATTAAGATTTTGATAAAAAAGCTTGAGCAAAGTTACACAACTAATACGAGGTTTTTATGACGGGAAAAGCTCGGTTCACCGAACGTCAGAATACGCTTTACATTAGGAGATTGCTCACACCCAAAAATAACAAGCGTGCGCCACAGTGACAAGTTTATAAAACCACAGCTTTGAGGAGTTTTTTGGTCAAAATTGACAGGGAAACAACATATTATCGGATACAATTTATAGAGTACAAATGCCCATTGGCTTGCAAAATACTCAATCAAGCATCCTTAGCAATTTCACATTGTTACAGCCATAATCAAAAAACATTTATTCAATCCACGGAATATTATAAAAAGATCGAGGCTTTGAGCTTGGCGATTTGTCGCTTTTCTCGAAAAGGGGTTCCCTCATTGTGGTGGCATTGCGTCGGCGCCGTTTTCGAAGTCCGAATTCTTGATTCTCTAAAAGAAAAAAGTTAAAGGCGTGCAAGATCAAAGATTAATTATAGAAACCTATGGCTCATTCTGGAAGTTTACAGCTACCAATCGAAACCAACGTTATGACGAACGAATTAAACTTTTGCCTTTTATTAAGAAGCTTTTACGGTTTCTAATTGCATCAAAGCTTTAGCAGGGCTAATTTTCACTAAAACATCCTATAAGCTTAAACTTATTCTATTTAAAGACAATTCGCTAATTACCGCCTCAAGTTATTTTTAGATTACCGCCTCAAGTCATTTTTAGATTAGAGACAAGTAAAAAGTACCAAATTCTCCCAGTTTAACAAGTACCAACGTTAAAATGTTCAAAAAAGCTTACCTCAATGTAATGATCGAGATATCCTTGTGCATATGCGTAAACGGACACGGCCGCCAAACCCACGAAGAACGCAACCAACACGAAGCCCATTGAGATGAATATATGAAAAGCTTTGCGAGTCGAGAAAAATTTATTTGAAATTTTAAATGCAGGCCTATGGTTTTTATGCAAAATTTTAAATTATTTAAATTTTGGAGGTGCTACCGTAATAGTAGCGCCCCCTCATAATGACGGGGTATTGCTGCGTAGTCTAACTTTACACGCTCCGCTCTTCACGCTACTTTATGCTACAGTGTGCGCTTGGGTGTTAAATGATAGCCCTTAAAATCTAGTATTTTTAGGTACCAAAAGTGTAGTTGGGAAAAACTAGGGGCTGAGGAAAAATGATTTCCTAAAAAGAAGTTAGAGTTAGACTACGCGACTGTACGGGGGGGGGGCGTTATCCTATTTTGATCCAATACGGTTCCTATTTTGATCTTTTGGGGGTGCGCTTTTGGGTCGGGTGCGCAAATAAAAGATCGCTTTTGTCCCACCCCCTACTATTACAGGTATTCCGGTAGCAAAAGCGCCGCGTTTTTTGCGCCAATTTCATTTGCGCTTATGAAAATCACTATGACAAATCACTTTTCCCCAACTTCTAACCAACTTTTTTTTCAGTTTTTTGCTTTACATTACAGAGTAGCCGGAAAGTTCTGCCGGAAAGTACTTTTGAAAGTGACGCCACTAAATTCAAGTTTAGAAAAGAAAAAGGAGAATTGAAAACAATAGTAAAATAAATATTTGAACTTTTCTTATTAAAATTAAGCATTTTTCATAAAGATTCGTCAAAAAGATTGGTTTTATTTTCCTTTCAAGTAAAGCTCCCTGTTCTCCAGGCTGGTTGCCATTTCCAAATCCGGTGAAGGCGACAAGATAGAAAAACTGAAAAAATATATTTATTTTCAATCAGAGTTGGTAGGAAAGTGTGTTGAAAAGGGCAAATTTGGCGCAAAAATTTTTGTCGCAAAAATTTGGCGCAAATGACACGTGGCGCAAATAATTTGGCGCTTTTGCTAGCACCTTTGATTCGATTCCGATTCGTTTGCCCCATTACATTAACTCCGAAGCGCGCCGAACTATCTAGCTCAGTTAGATATCAAATAAGTTTATCTACATCTATCTAAAAGGGCTAATAGAATTATCTAAGCTTTAAACTTAAATCTCAATTTTCGTACCTTTTCCTTTTCCTTAATCCTTTTCCTTAATCCTTTTCCTTAATCCTTTTCTCTTCGTCCCTCAGATCATCGGCGGGGAACTGAATGGAATTTTGTGATGATTTTTCTGTATAAACTAGGGCTCTTCATTGATCGATTGAGGACTTTTTGCAATTTGACTAGCCTAGAACGGTGTAGGATGATGGACAGTGTGTGTTTATATTGATGCCTCTCTTCCCTCTCCTAGTTGATCAATCGCATTCACACACAGCTTTGATCGATTTAGGAACGCTTATTTTCTGATGATGATTCGAAATTTTCAACTGTTTATCCTCTTAATTCAAATCGGATGCATTGTAGCACAAGGTTGGCTGAAAGGAATACAGTAATCAACTACTTTGTACCTGTAAGCGCATACCTTCTGGCGCAAATCTCTATTTTAATCTCTATTTTTCTCACATTAATGCTTGGCGAGAAAGATGAAGAATTCAGTGCACTAGAAAGGATGCGTTTACAGATTTGTTTACAGAAACGCTGAACATTTCCAATTATCAAATCGAGTTGGAGGACCTTGAAAAGCGCGTTTTTACGAACTACGATCCCCAGGTTTTCTGTCTTTTTTTTCAAAAGTCATATGCAAATTTTAGCTACCTCCATACGATGGTGATAAAGCGATTAAAGTAGGAAATCTTGTGATCAATAGAATTTTTCAGATTAGAAGCCTTTTAGATGACTCTCCAAGTTCACAGCTCACATCTCGCTGTCCCACCCGGTGATCAGGCGACTCTTCATTTCTATGGAGCTTTCTTTTATGTAAGGCCTCTATCGGGTTACTTTAGGGTGCTAGAGTCAGTACTCTAGTCAGTACTCTAGTCAGTACTCTATCAGTACGTCAGTACGTCAGTACTAATGACTTAAAGACTTTCTACCAGTTACCAGAGTACTGTAAGGGTACTTTAGGGTTCCACTAGGGTACTGTAGAATTCTATTAGGGTTCGTCTAAGTTAATGAATGACATGGGGGTACTGTAAAGCCTTCTACCAGTTACTAGATTACTGTAAGGGTATTGACCCGCGGTACTCTAAAATCCCGTTCTTCCCTCTCTTTTTTATACCGCCGAGTACAATAGTACAATAGTATTGTAAATTTCATACCAGATTTAGCCACTAGACCTGGGAATTTTCGGTGTGGACGCCAATAGGTGTGCAACGGAGAAAGTGGGATATCTCAGCCGATTTCACTCCGATCTTTTTGTTTTTAATATCATTTGACGCAGAATTTCATTTTCTATCGTTGCTAAAGGAAAAAGTGAGTGAAAGAAAGATATGGCATTTTTTCGATACCTATTGACGTTCACACTGAAAATTCCCCAGGTTTATTAAAAACAGTAGCAGGGTACTCTTTTAGTTCTGGCTTGAAATTTGGTTACTTTAATTTCCAAATTACAGTTTACAGCTTCAAATTCAGACTTGGCAAGAGCAAAAACTCGGTTGGAATCCGGCCGATTCCAAAAAAAAGATGAAAGTTGTCGTTCACGATCAACAAAAGCTCTGGTTACCTAAAATGATGAAAGTTGTGGGGTGGGTTTAAAAAAAAAGCTACACTTGATACTGAATCTTGATATCATTTGATAAAAAAGTTACACTTTATCTAAAACGTATCTCTACTTTTTCTCCAATCCAATATCTCCAATATCTATTGATTCTGTGTGAATTCACAAAGGATATCGAAAGATATATTACCGTAAATACTGTAATAGTACCGCACCCCGTACAGTCGCACAGTACAGTCGCGTAGTCGTACAGTCTGTACAGTCGCGTAGTCGTACAGTTCGTACAGTCGCGTAGTCGCAAAAGTTTTTTAGTATTTCATTTTTTTCAAAGCACCCGTACTTTCAAAAAATGCATCTTTGGTGTCAAAAAATAGCCCTGAATTTCAGCTATTTTTTGATACCTAAACGCACATTGTAATATAAACCAGTGTCGAGAAAAACGCGTTCAAAGCTAGACTACGCAAAACTCCACACCGTCATTATGGGGGCGTTGGAAAGTTGGATCAAACTAGGCAAAGCCAGAGCTTGGTTCAGGCAGAGGAGCTGGCTTCAGTCTTTGGCCTGACTCGGAAATGCATTTAGTAAAATCCATTTAGTGGAATCATTTCAATGGTGAACTGGGAGATGACTTGGAAAATTGGCTCATTTTTGACGGTGGATGACCCGAATCGTTATCAGGTATCAGGTGTACAATGAAACAGTCAACTATTGGGTTGGTGAATTGAAAACTGCGGGCTATTGTCATATGTTCCAGTTTGAGCACTTTCTTCAAAAGAAACCCATTTTGGTGTCAATGGAAAAAAGACTGAAAAAATAAAACACGACGAAAGACTGAAAAATTCTTTGTGGCGGGGTCCTTTTATTGTGTCGGGTTACGGTAGTTTCCGACGTTTGACGCGGAAACGTCTGAAAGGCAAAGTATACGGTGGACGGTCCGAAAGGCATCTGTCATCAGAATTTTATTATTTCAAGAGAGAATTCCTTTAAATTGATTTAAACTAAAATGAAATTAAACCCAATTTGTTTAATTACTTTTTTAATTATTATTTTGAATTTATTGGGTTGGTGAATTGAAAACTGCCGGCTATTGTCAAATGTGACAGTTTGAGCACTTTCTTCAAAAGAAACCCATTTTGGTGTCAATGGAAAAGTTGTAGAGAATCAAAAATGAAGCTTATATCCAAATTTTCAGAACGATTCAAAAACTGGTTTTCAAGAAATGCCAAATTTACGAATTTGTCACAAAACTTGCATTTCACAAAACATTTTAAGCGAAACTACTAAGTGTATCTTTTTGGAAATTTGGCTATAAGCCTAACTTTTGATTCTCTACAACTTTTCTATTGACACCAAAATGGGTTTCTTTTGAAGAAAGTGCTCAAACTGGGACATTCCTCCATTTTTGAGTCTCCGGTCCTCCATTTTTGAGTCTCACGAATGCCTGAAGAAGGATTGGCCTTCCAAGTCAAAGATCGTTCTCCTCCACGACAACGCGCGCCCTCATGTTGCAAAACTGACTCGCTCTAAAATAAATAGCCTTGTTTGGGAACTTTTGGCGTATTCCCCATACAGTCCGGAAATGACAATGGGTGGGGCCAGGTGAGAAACCCGAAAGTGACCCCAAGCCCGATTTGCACCAGAAGAAGTTTATGCTCTGCGTTTTCTGGGATATGGAGGGAGTGGTGTACTGGCGGTTGCTGGATAGCAAGACGACCGTTAATGCAATCAAATACAGTGAACAGTCGGGAAAGGTGAATGAATCCCTGAAGAAAAATTGGCCCTCCAAGTCAAAGATCGTTCCACGACAACGTGCGCCCTCATGTTGCAAAACTGACTAGCTCTAAAATAAATAGCCTTTTTTGGGAACTTTTGGCGCATTCTCCATACAGTCCGGACCTCGCCCCTTTTGATTACTATTTATTCCGGAACATGAGTAATGAGCTTGCGGGAGAACACGTCGATTCGGAAGAAGCAGTCAAAAATTGGCTTTCAAAGTTTTTCGTTTCAAAACCAAAATCCTACCACGAAAGAGGAAACCGCAAATTGCCTGTAAAATTGGCAGAAGTCGTCAATAATAATGGAAATTATTTCGAATGAATTGATTGGTTTTATGTTGAATAAATTTTAGTTCAAAGTCCGGCAGTTTTCAATTCACCAACCCAATAGTCTACAGGTACAGGGCAAATTATAGCAACTAACTTCTGAGGGTCTAGCTCAGCGAGAACTCAATGAATCCGTATGAAATTTTTGGAGATGATTTCTGAGTATGTCTCCTGTCTCCAAGCCCATTTTCTAACTGATTGATGCTTCTAGAATCTTTCTATGACCTTACAAAGTTGAGAGTCGCGGTACACCACGAGAAAAACCCAATTTAAGGCTTTTGAGAGCCGTTTTTTTGTTACTAGTTATTTAATGAATATGATTTCTAAGACAAAAAAAGAACAAAAAGAGATCAAACAGAAGATCACCTCATAGAAATTCAATTTTCTGTCATCGAATTTGATTAAAATGCGGTTTCCTAACAAAATGTGATTAAGGAGTCAACTCAAAAATTAGAGAAAAAAATCTTTTTTGACATCTTTTTTTTGAAAAGACATTGTCGATTTTTCTTCTTGATTTATGATTTAATATTATTTATCGAAAAAACAGAAGGAATCTGTAAGATTTTAGGAAAAAACGGCCTTAAAAAACGGCTCTCAAAAACCTTAAATTGGGGTTTTCTCGTGGTGTACCGCGACTCTCAACTTTGTAAGGTCATAGAAAGATTCCAGAAGCATTAATCAGTTAGAAAATGGACTTGGAGACAGGAGGCATACTCAGAAATCACCTCCAAAAATTTCATACGGATTCATTGAGTTCTCGCTGAGCTAGACCCTCAGAAGTCAGTGGCTATAGCTTGCGATCACCCCTGTAGTAATCATTGAATTTGAGATCATTTCCAGAAAGCCAAAGTCCATTTTTATCACGAGGTCGAGCTACAGATTCCTTGCAAAGTGAGCGGGAAATACCCGAAAGAGACACTCGAGTAAGTCACTAGAGTTTTTACCATTCACACCTAAAGTACCTAAAGTACGGACACCTAAAGCACCAAAACGTTAACGGTCACATAAAGCACCTAAAGTTACCGTATTCCGGGTTACGGTAGCTGTCTTAGTCCCTTGTCTTTCTTTCATTCTCTTGGCATGGTACCGAATAGCTCAGTGATTAGAGCAAAAGAAAAAGCAAAAGCAAAAGCAAAAGCAAGGTCGAGGGTTCAATCCCGGCTCCAGAAATCTACTTTTTCTTGCCAATTCCTTCACCTCTTTATTGTCAAAAGTTACAGTGCTTTAATGTAAGAAGGTTACGATAGTTTCTCACAAAAATTGCCGTATTTTGAGTTACCATAAGCTTCACCAAAAGCTACCGTACCTGGTACCGTAGCTATCGTACCAAGAATTACCGTATCTTGGGTTACTGTAGCTGTAGCTGGCTTAACGTTACTATACTACAATGTACTTTTCGAGATGGGTTGCATATTTGGTTAAAAGCCAGGCCTTTTGTAATTCGGTAATTACGGTTAATTGCGGTAATTCTTGGTCACCCTGTAGAATCTTTTGACTAAAGCTACCGCATTCCGGATTATTGTAGTCTTTTGCAAAACGTTACCAGTTTCTGGGTTACGGTAGCTTTAAAAGCTGGTAGCTTTTCATTAAAAGCTGATAGTTTTTCATTAAAAGCTGGGAGTTTTTCATTAAAAGCTACCAGCTATTCATAGAAGCTACCAGCTATTCATAGAAGCTACCAGCTATTCATAGAAGCTACCAGCTATTCATAGAAGCTACCAGCTATTCATAGAAGCTACCAGCTATTCATAGAAGCTACCAGCTATTCATAGAAGCTACCAGCTATTTACAGAAGCTACCAGCTATTCATAGAAGCTACCAGCTATTCATAGAAGCTACCAGCTATTCATAGAAGCCATTTATAGAAGATTACAGCAGCTGTTTTACCAAAACTTACTATACTTTGGGTTAGGGTAGCTTTTGAAAACTCGCAAAATATAGTAGCCAAAATTTTCGGTGCAATTTCGTGCTGATGTCCCTTCTCCCAGCTCGATATCTTCGAATCGAATCACAAGAGGGAACGATTCTCTTCTCAAAATACACCCGTCAGTTTTTAAAGTCGTCAGTCGTTTTAGAAAAACAACATTGTTTCTCTAAAAACTTTTTCCCTTTCTCTTTCTACCGTAATCTTGTCTTTCTCTTTATCCAATTCTCTTTTTCTTTATCCAATTCTCTTTTTCTTTATCCAATTGTCTTTCTTTTTTTTTTTTGATCTGTTTTTTGCACTCAGGTGTTCCTATTTGCGCAGATCACAACCTGCTTCCACATTCCTCTATCCCTTGCTATTGTCATCATATGGCATCCTTATGTCCCGTGATTAGATCTCTCAGCCTTTGCTTGATTCCTCGATGCCGGAGGAGAGCAGGGAGGCCGTGCGGGGGACTGAGGCAGAAGTGTAGTTGTCGTAGCCGATGATACTCCGATGGCCGGGCTAGGGCGCTCGGACCAATTGTCTTTCTCTTTATCCAATCTATTCACTTTTTGTATCTTTCAAAATCCTTTGTGAATTCTGATAGAATAGATAGAAATAGATAGACCTAGATAGACAAAAAGTGGATAGATTAGATAAGAAATAGAGACAAGATTACGGTAGGGGAAACGGCTTAGAAATAGAATAGAATAGAATTTAATTTAATTTCTAATAGAATTGGTATTCAGAGGGATTGACTGACTGGGATCCACCAATTTTCGGTGGCTGGAGAGTGATCGATTCTTCACAAAAGATGGCTGCTTACGATCCAAAGACACGCGAGTTGACGTTGACAACGAATCTCGATTATTCAGAGCTGTGAGCTGACGTTGTGTTCAAATTTGTAAACACTCCTTCTGGTGCATTCAGCTCTCGGGACACCAAGCGTTTTTGTGAGAAAAATAAAGAATTGAGTGCGCCAGGGAGAGTGTGTTTACGCATTTAAGCTCAAAGTATCTTGATGTGGAGTCTTTTTTTTGACTTAAAATTTGACCAATCCATTTCAGCAGCGCTCTCTCATTGAGCATCACCATTAAACGCTATGCCACCGCTCGGGCTTTACTTGCCTTTTTGCCGATTCTGATCGCAACTCTTCTGGTAAGTACGGGAGGTAGTCAAATGAGCGCCAAAAATTGAGCGCCGTCCATTTGAGCGCCGTCCATTTGAGCGCCGTCCATTTGAGCGCCGTCCATTTGAGCGCCGTCCATTTGAGCGCCGTCCATTTGAGCGCCGTCCATTTGAGCGCCGTCCATTTGAGCGCCGTTCTTTTGAGCGCCGTCCATTTGCGGGCCGCGCCAAAAACGTTCATTTCAGCGCCGAATCAGCCCTTTCTGTGTGTGTGTTTTTTGCATTTTTTGCATGATTTCAAGATTTTTACTGCACTTTTTTATTCGCAATAATAGTTGCTTCATTGCCACAAATTGTGCCGAACATTTCGATGTGATTTCCTAATAAACAAGATGTAAAAAGATTTTTTAGAAGAGAAAACCTTCAAATTGGCGTTTTAACCTTCTAGCGATCCAATTTGTTCCAATTTGTTCATCGCTTATAAAAGCGCCAAATGAGCATAACTAACCTCTTTACCGCAATTAGATATGAGCGTTTATTTGAGAGTAAAGCTAGACTACGCGACACTCCTATAGGGGTTCTATTAGAGTTTTTACGGTAAACTAACAATTTTTTTCCGCGCATTTGGTGCCTACTGCCGTGCCCTTAGTTAAATGAGTGAAAAAAAGTGTAAAAACAAAAGCAAAGACCCAAAAAAATGCAAAAGCAGCGTAGAAAGCAAAAATGTTAAAATCTAATCGCGCTGAAATGAACGTTTCCCAGTCATTTTTGATGCGGCGCTCAAATGAGCACGCGCCGAATTGTTGGCGCTCAAATGAACGGCGCTAAATTTTTGGCACTCATGTGACTACCACCCAACGAAACTGTAATTTCAGTAGTTCATAGTATTATGAAGTATTGGGTATCTGGATACTTCATAGTACAGGGTGAGCCAAAATTACCGTTACAATGCTCACTCACGCGCAAATGCAAAAGCGAAATGGAGGAAAGCGAACGGTAAAAACTTCAGCAAATGTCAAAAAAAAGTGAGGAATCGCCTGTTGAAAACGTCAAACTAATCGATGAGGAAAATGTCACACAAAAAAATGGGGAACATCCCTTAGAAGAATCATCAAAAGCTCGGAGCTTGGGAGCTTGGGAGCTTGGGAGCTTGGGAGCTTGGGAGCTGGGAGCTTGGGAGCTGGGAGCTTGGGAGCTGGGAGCTTGGGAGCTGGGAGCTTGGGAGCTGGGAGCTTGGGAGCTGGGAGCTTGGGAGCTGGGAGCTTGGGAGCTGGGAGCTTGGGAGCTGGGAGCTTGCTTGGGTGCTGGGCTTGGGTGCTGGGCTTGGGAGCTGGATCTCCTATACCTTCTCGCCACGATCGACGCTTTTCGACGTTGGACGCCTGTGTAAAAGCTATTGGAGATCTGCTAGAAAAGTTTTTATGAATTGTTATGAGACAATAAAATATATTTTTTAGGAAAAATCTTTGACCTTTTGAGTTGCTTTTTATACAGAGACTTTTTTACGTTTAACGGTAATTTTGGCCCACCCTGTACTAAGTTTTATACGTCAATTTTGCGTTACTTCAAAAGAATCAACGTTTCGAAATCTCAAACACATGAAATTGGGTGATTAAATCGTTTGAGGGGATGGCAGTAATGCAGAAAACTTGGATAAATTTACAGTAATCCATCTTCGGTAATCATCTTCAATAATCATCTTCGGTAAACGATTTTAAGCAAAAAATTCACTCTTCAGTTGCTCGTCAGTTGGATTGCTCCGTCTCCAGTCTCTTCTTGGATGGCCATTTCCACGCTCATTTTTCTCTCAACCGTTGTTCGCGATGTCTCAAATACAGTACCCCGTTATGATAATCAAATCACCGGTTTTTGTGAGTTTCCCTGTAGCAAAAGATCGGTTTTTTTGCAAGAGCAAAAGATTTTTGTGTACTTTGCGCTTAAACCTGTAAACGAATCCCTTCTGGTGCTTTCTTTCTTCTTCAATTCTTCTTCTTCTTCAATTCTTCATTCTCTTGCAATACCAAGCCTTCGACGCAAGAAAAACGAAGCTTGAGTGCACCAGAAGGGTGTGTTTGCATTCGTCGTTTACAATTTTGAGCACAAAGTACATCCCATCAGTTCAATTTCCAAAGGAATCAGAACAAGCAAACAAAAACGAATATTTTCAGCCATCGTTGTGATCTTGCTATGGATTTCAACCCCATTTTCCCTCGTCATCCATCAAATATTCAGTCTTTCACTTGTACAACGAGAATCGGTGCGCTTGATCCCGTTACTCGAGAAAATGCCACTTTTCTCGCGTCTAGAGCAGTTCATTCTGAAGACTGAGACACTGGGTGAGTTGAGTAAAACTGAATTAGGTAACTATTGGGTTGGTGAATTGGGTTGGTGAATTGGGTTGGTGAATTGGGTTGGTGAATTGAAAACTGCGTGCTATTGTCATATGTGACAGTTTGAGCACTTTCTTCAAAAGAAACCCATTTTGGTGTCAATGGAAAAAAAGACTGAAAAAATAAAACACGACGAAAGACTGAAAAATTCTTTGTGGCGGGGTCCTTTTATTGTGTCGGGTTACGGTAGTTTCCGACGTTTGACGCGGAAACGTCTGAAAGGCAAAGTATACGGTGGACGGTCCGAAAGGCATCTGTCATCAGAATTTTATTATTTCAAGAGAGAATTCCTTTAAATTGATTTAAAGTAAAAAGAAATTAAACCCAATTTGTTTAATTACTTTTGTAATTACTTTTTTGATTATTATTTTGAATTTATTGGGTTGGTGAATTGAAAACTGCCGGCTATTGTCAAATGTGACAGTTTGAGCACTTTCTTCAAAAGAAACCCATTTTGGTGTCAATGGAAAAGTTGTAGAGAATCAAAAATGAAGCTTATATCCAAATTTTCAGAACGATTCAAAAACTGGTTTTCAAGAAATGCCAAATTTACGAATTTGTCACAAAACTTGCATTTCACAAAACATTTTAAGCGAAACTACTAAGTGTATCTTTTTGGAAATTTGGCTATAAGCCTAACTTTTGATTCTCTACAACTTTTCTATTGACACCAAAATGGGTTTCTTTTGAAGAAAGTGCTCAAACTGGGACATTCCTCCATTTTTGAGTCTCCAGTCCTCCATTTTTGAGTTTCACAGAGTTAGTTAGTTGTTAAGTTTGTTAGTTGTTAAGTTTGTTAGTTGTTAAGTTGGTTAGTTGTTAAGTTTGTTAGTTGTTAAGTTTGTTAAGTAAAGAAGTTAGCCCTGATTTTAGTTAGCATTTTTTTTCCAGATCCCCTCCGAATGCGTCTCTTCCCTCCCCAAATTTTCTACATTCAACTCATCATCGCCGCTCTTCATCTAATCGTTATACCGATTCTTTTGTTTTAGAAATAAAACTTTTCATGTTATCATGTTCTTGTCATTTTCTCGACACAGCAGTTAGATTCACAGCAGTTAGAAACCGGGTAGCACTACGGTAATAGTTGGATTCATTTACGACTTCTTGTCGATTCTTGTTTGAGCTACGGTAGCTGGATATCAGAGACCATAAGCCTAGCAAAAGCAAAAGCTAGCTATCAGTAGCTATCGGTAGCTGGATATCAGAGAATATCATCTGATTAGAGTCCTCGTGATTAAATAATTAATTGAATAAATTTTTATAAAGAAATTTAACAAATTTAACAATTAAAGATCAATTAAATGATTTTATTGAGAAAAAAACACTTGGAAATGATGAATGAAAGGTTTAAATTTGCAGATAAACAAATCTCCATAACTACAGTAGCCTTTTTGCACGCTTTGAAGAGCGCGCTTTGAAGCGCAAGCTTTAAAAAGCGAATTAATCACGAGGAACACATATTCGATAAAAGAAAGCAAGTTTTCTAAGCTTGCTGTATCTTTTGATATCCTTTGTGAATCCACACAGAACAAAAGACTAGATATATTGAATAAAAAAGAGAAAAGATTACAATAGAAAGAGGAAGGAGAAAAGTTTTCGAAAACCGATTACCGTATTCTCCCAGAGATCCTTGACAACTCATCTTGACACTTGACAACGTGATTCGACTCGACATGCGTTAGCCGATTGGATTCGAGAAACACGAACGAAGAAACGAGCGCTTGACTCGGAGGAGCGCTTGACTCGGAGGAGCGCTTGACTCGGAGGAGCGCTTGACTCGGAGGAGCGCTTGACTCGGAGGAGCGCTTGACTCGGAGGAGCGCTTGACTCGGAGGAGCGCTTGACTCGGAGGAGCGCTTGACTCGGAGGAGCGCTTGACTCGGAGGAGCGCTTGACTCGAAAGATCCTCTAAAAGCAAGCGAAGTTTATGTGGCAGAATGAGACAGAAGTTAATGTGGCAGGAGTTTGCGGCATCAGAGGAATGGTTGAATCGATTCATGGCAAGACACGGATTTTCGACTCGTTGATTCACAACTGTATGCCAGAAGGAGCCCCAGGAATACGTCCAGGCATTGATCGAGTACATTCTTCACTCGGAGAGTTTGCGAAAGAAGAATACGGACTGTTTTATCTACCCATGTGAAGAACAGCATTTTTCTTGGCCAGTTGAACAGTTTGACAATCGCCTACAAAGGATCCCGGGAGATGGCAGTACTTTCAAATGGACATGCGAATGCGAATCATTGTCATGTTGACAGCACGAGAAGACGGCTTCAAATGAAGCCATTCGTTTTGTTGAACCGACTTTACCGTGATCCGAAGATCATCGCCAAATTTCAGAACAAACTCGAGCTGGACTGCGGTGGATCTACATGGATGAATGATACTTCGATTGAGATCTACCTTCGAAAGATCCTCAATTCGGGAAACGATTGATTGTTTGAGATATCTTCTCAGGGATATGAGATATGTTTGAGATTAGAACTCGTAACTCGTGACTCGGCTCGTGACTTGGCTCGTGACTCGGCTCGTGACTCGGCTCGTGACTCGGCTCGTGACTCGACTCGACCGGCGTTAAGCGATTCGTTTCGAGTTGAATCAGCACAAAAGCGAAGCTACAAGGAGAATTCTAAAGGATTTGCAAATTGATTCGATACCTGGAGACACTAAGTAAGTCCAAAACCGGATATAATCTGGAATGCTCCTTTTCAAACGAGGATTCGAGCCCAATATGAAGATTGGATGCTGAATGGGCGGAGAGCATTGATTTGCAATGAAAATTGAATGGATTTGGATTGAATGGAAATTGAAATTCCACTAATGAAAATCTTGAATGGATTTGGAACGAACTCCCGAAGCGTGGAAGCGTGGAACGAACTCCCGAAGAACTTCATCATGCTCTCGTTCAAGAATTGTGTGATTACCATCGGAAGATGGTAATCACGGAAGATGGAAGATGTGCTCGGAAGATGGTCTTATTCATTGCTTTAAAAAGAAGGAGTCGCAGGAATACGTCCAGCCATTGATCAAGTACATTCTTTATTCTTATTCCCTACCTATTCCAAGACGAGACGCAAGACTTCCAGCCAATGCTCGACTTGAACGATCCATCAATGGAGTAAATGATCAATTTGGAAATACTGAATTGGATGGAGATGATTCGGATAACGATTCTGTTCTTGATTTCTTGACTAGTTAATTTCTGATCCTGTTTTGATTATGATCATGTTCATATGATCATATGAACATGATCATCCGCCAACCTTCCGTTTCCTCTAAAAGCTCCCAGTTTCTTTTTTTAATCCAGTTATTATTGGGTTGATGCATAATTATCCGGACTTCTTTTTGCGTGCTTGTATCTTTTTTGTTTTGAAAGCTTTTTGTCTATTTCTTTTTTTTAAATATTCGTTATTCTTTAGTGAACAAAATGCGTGTCGACAATCATATCCATCTTCGCCATATCATGCTCTACCACTTCGAAAAGGGATGGTCTGCCGCAGAGTCGTTTCGCGATCTCAAAGAACTGGAGAAGCCCCAACGGACTACCACGTCAATCGATCGCTCAAAAATTGGCAAACAAATAAGATCTACAACGATTTGGATGACTTGATAGACGATGTTAAAGCGTGGATTGCCTCCAAAGATCGTTTATTCTTCGCTCGTGGAATCGATCGTCTTCCAAGCAAATGGCAATCAGTTATTGATGTAGGCGGTGAATATGCTCCAGAATAATCAATTAAACATGTTTTTCTAACTATTTATGTTATTTTTTGTTAAATAAAATCATTTATAAAAGAAGTCCGGATAATTATGCATCAACCCAATAAATTGTGGAACCTTTTCGTGGTCGTGTTCGTTCGTGTTCGTTTGTGTTCGTTTGTGTTCGTTCTTGTTGGTGATGTTCCTACCTTGCCTAGATTTAAAGCCACAATTTCGGCAATTGATTTGACTGCTCTGTGATTCTTTCTTGAGGTACAGCACTGGACAATGAAATATCATATTTGAAAAACGATCGTCACTTTCGCGCGTCTGTAACTCACTTATCTTTGAGTTTAAACTATTAGTGTTATACATTTTCTGAAAGCTCTTTTCAAGGGCTACACAATGGTAATATTAATATTTAGAAATGCGATAAAGACAAGGGAGTTACAGACGCGCGAAAGTGACGATCGTTTTTCAAATATGATATTTCATTGTCCAGTAGTGTATCTTTTGATCTTTTGGGTCCTTTTTATCACCACACGGTGTCCTGGGTGATTATTATGTTCTTTATTTTGTCGCTATTGGAGAAAATGCTATTTGATCTTCTTAGAGAATGCTATCTTTTTTTATTTGAAATTTATTTTGGTAAGCTGCTCTGCTGCTAAAACTCTAATAGTATTGCGGGCTCGGTAGAGGGATTGAAAAAAATAGTATAACACAATACTATTAGAGAGAATACGGTATTTGAGAGGGGGAAAACTCTAGTCACCATTTCCTTTTTCTGGGCTAATCGATTGATCGTAGGGAGGTGGCAGACTCCCGCCTTTTTTTGTGTGCACTCCCGATGAGCGTCCTTTTTCTTTTCGTTTTGGGGTTTACTTTCGATATTATGTCTATATTGCAACTATATTATATCTAGTTATTTACCGTAATACTTGTAAATGAATATATAAGCTGTAATGTAAATATTACAGGGAGACCAAGAATTACCGCAACAACTTTTTCGGAGAGTATCTGGGAAATGTCTAATTTATTTTAGAAGTATCAAGTGTTATATAGAGGATTGTAGCCCTGAAGCTTGGCTACATTTTTCTACCAAAAACTTCTCGATTCGACTTCTACAACTCATTTAACAAGCGCTTGAATGAGCGCTAGTCGACATCTCTCCGGCGAATCTGTCATTTGGCCACTTTTCTCTATTAATCTCTATCTTTTCTCTATTTCTCTTGTTAAGAAAAGCTTCCATCAAGGCAAAAATAGCGTTTAATATCACTTAATAACGTTAGAAATCACACTTTTCTTAACAATTTTTAATAGAGAAAAGTGGCCAAATGACAGATTCGCCGGAGAGATGTCGACTAGCGCTCATTCAAGCGCTTGTTAAATGAGTTGTATAAGTGGAATCGGGAAGTTTTTGGTAGAAAAATGTAGCCAAGATTTAGGGCGACAATTCTCTTTATAACACTTGATACTTCTAAAATAAGTTAGGCATTTCCCAGCGACTTTTCCGAAAAGTTATCACTATACGGGGTGTTCAAGCACTCGTTTCTAGTGCCTAGAGCTGCCTAGAGTTAACCATTTCCCAAACCAAAAATAGCGTTTAGCATCAGCTAATAACATTAAGAATTACACTTAAATGTTTTAGCTGAACTGGCATAAGAAAAATTGAAGTTGATGATGCCAAATTGATGCCAAAAGACAGATTCGCCGAAGTGGTCTCATTCAAGCGCTTGTTAAATGAGTTGTAGAAGTCGAATCGGGATGCTTTTGGTAGATAAATGTTGCCGAGAATTAGGCCTACAATTCTCTGTATAACACTTGCCACTTTTGAAATAAATTAGACATTTCCCAGATACTCTTCCAAAAAGTTGTTGCGGTAATTCTCTCACCCCGTCGAATACCATATTTTCTTTAATCTTCAAACAAAAATACAGAAAAAAAACGGCTGAACAGATTTTGCTGAATATTTGCTGGCATTTATTCTGTTTAATGGAGTTTAATGTTGTTTAATGCTGTTTAATGGGGGGTGGGACAAATGCGACCTTTTTTTGCGCACCTGGACATTTGCGCACCTTTTTTTTTGCTGGAAAAGGCCTTAGGAAAGGTCGTAGAGCTTCAAAAATATTTCCATATAAGGGAATCGTATGCGTAAATTCCGAATTTCGACAAATCAGACCTCGCTGACACGTTAAATTTGGGCTAAAAGGCAAAAACTGCGGAAAAGCGTTAAGTTGCGTAGTTTTTGCCTTTTATTTCGCCGTTTTCACCAAATTTAACGTGTCAG